ACTTGAGCGTCAGTGTGGAACTCATAGCAATCGACTTTGAAAAACACCATCACTTTTAACAGTTTCACGTGGTAATGTTTTTAAATATTCAAACCATTTAAGAAATGAAGATTCAAATAATTTAGAACTATTTTGGAAAATGGGTCCTATTGTAAGAAAAATTGAAAGTATAGAATACAGTTGGAACCAGCGACAGATTCAACTGAGACAAAGTGGCTTAACTAAAAAAGAACAACAAGTTTTACATCAGGCGTCCAGGAGAAATTCTATTTTAACTTGTTTAAAGCTACACGGCGGTTCATTTAATTGTGGATCAGATGTCAGTGAATATATTGGAAAAGAGCAAGATCTGATAAAATGCCAAAAACAATTAAAGAATGAAGTAATTTATTTTAGAGATACAAGTAGGTCGCAAAAATCAACTCTATTTAAAATCACGATTTTTGATAAAAATACAAAAAAGCGCCGTCTTATGTATATAGAAGAATATGCTACTAATTTGAAGATTCTTCTTGAAAAGTCATCACAGCAATCACCTACGATGACTTCCACAAAGTTATTTCGCACTTTCAATAGAAGTCGAAACAAATTATTATTAGACTTGATGATGCACAATGTCTAATTTTTTGTGTAATTTAAAACTAGTCTAGACACAGTGATTACATATTTTATAAATAAAATGAAAAAGAAAAAAATTACCATGTGTTTTACATCACTTATATTTGAAAGTAATAATGATTTCATTAAATTTAACAGTAAATTGTTTTGTCAAATTTTGTTAAAATTGAAGTAGAAGGCTAAATACTGATAAGGGAGTAAAAACATTGTGAAATTCAAAATCAGCATAAAAAAATTAATTAAGAAAAAGTGGTTAAACTACAAAAAATCTAAAAAAAGTTAATTTTGGACCCCCCCCCCCACCTATTATAAGTCTTATTTTCTGCCTTTGAGTTGAGCTAAGCTAAGTGTTTTCATGTTTCTGAAATAATTATACTGTCAAAACATCTAGAAGCTGTGGTCAAATTTATCAAAAACAAAAAAATTTATGTGTGGTAAAAAGATACAGGTTTAAACAAGAATGTTAATCAATCAAAGTTAACAATCACATTCTTGTCTAAGCCTGATAATATGTTATTCTTATCAAGTTATTCATATGTTTTGCAAAAACATATGAATAACTTGATCACATTCTTGTCTAAGCCTGATAATATGTTATTTTTATCAAGTGATTTATATGTTTCGCAAAAACATCTTTGAACATTTTTTTATTGGTTAATTATTTCAATAAATAAAATTAGGAAAATGTTTTTTTTTATTGTTATTTTGAATCAATGAATAACAGTTACAGCTGAGAAAACATTTTTTGAAAAAACAAATTGAAGGCAGCTGTAGTTAATGTTTATAACCCTAATTAAGTTTTATTTATGTTTATACTCTAATTAAATTTTATTTGTTTATAGCCTAATTAAATTATTTCATATTTAAAAAAAATAGGCACAAACTATAATATAAAAAGCATGCAATTTATGAAAATATATAATTGCAAGCTTTTTTATAACTAAGCAATGAAAACAAATCTGCAATTAAATAATATTTATTACCGCACTGTGCTGCATCCTTTGAATCTCATCCTTTGAATTGGTGAATCCTTTGATTCACCAAGAGCTTTTAAATAAAATTGGCTTTGTAATTTAAGTAAATTTTTTTCCTCCATAAATCAATATTCTCTTTCCAAGTTTTGGCAAAATTAACCAATTCAGTCTGTCATTTTCAACCAATCCTGAGTCCATTTTTTCATAAAAGAACTAATGATGCTGCTTCATCCTTGTTTTCATTAGATTTTTATCTTTGTTTTATCTGTTTTCATTAAACTTATGATTTCATAAGACTGCTTTAATTTTCTTATTGTTTTGTTTTTTATGGAATTTTGATCTATTACTTAAGCTTAGGATAGCAAGGAATCTTTTACAGCCAATATTTTATTTTTTGGTCTACTAGTGTTTGTAAAAATATTTTATAATAACTATTAATAACTATTATTTGTTTTGCATGTGGTAAAAAACAATATTTGCCGTAAAAAACGTAAAAAAAAAAGTTATTTAAGTTTATTTTCGGCAGCACCCAAATACAGTTGATGCTGTCGAAAACAGTCTAGAAAAGACCCTGAATGTGTATATATATATATATATATATATATATATATATATATATATATATATATATATATATATATATATATATATATATATGTATATATATATATATATATATATATATATATATATATATATATATATATATATATATATATATATATATATATATATATATATATATATATATGTATATATGTATATATATGTATATATATATATATGTATATATATGTATATACATATGTATATATATATATGTATGTATATATATATATATATATATATACATATATATATATATATATATATATATATATATATGCAGGCCTTGGCTGGAAGCAAGAGATATAGCTCTCGCTCTCGCCCACACTCCCCTAAAACGGTTTATGAGAGCAATTTACGGCTCTCGCAAAAGTATAACTTTTCTCACAAAAGTATAATTATTGTTGAACCTAAATAAAAAACACAATGTCATTTATAAAAAAATTTATTGCATAATATAATGCAATGCTTTTTAAAAAACCACGGTTGTTGCAACAAAAAAAAAATTAAATTTAAAAAGAGTGCCAGTTTAAATAAAGAGCAGCTCGCACAACTTCCCAAGTTCGTTTTAGGAGAGCTTTTCTCTGCTCTCGTGCTCATTTATTCCCGCCGAGGACTGTATATGTGTATATATATGTATATATACATGCAAATATATATATATATTCATATATAAACACATATATACATATATACATTAGGGTGTCCTAAAAAACAACATTTTTAAAAATAATTTGCTCTCACCCCCTAAATGTGTTCTATCTAATACAAAAACACTAGGTTTAAATTTTTTTTGAATAAAAAATATTTTAAGGGGTCCCTCAAGACCCTCGAATATTTAATGGGTGCCTAATATTTTCGAAAAAAAAGTTTTTCAAAAAAATGTCAACCTGCTACTCAAATGAAGCGAAATTATATAAATATTTCAAAAATAATATTCATTTCGAAATATTTTTAACTTATTTATCAAGATTATCATAAAAAAACATCAGAAATGCATTTTTTTCATTTTTTCTTAAAAAACGCAATTTTTTATGTAATAAAACCAAAAATAACAATTTTGTTTTGAAATGAGTTTTATTTTTAAAATTTTTATATAATTTCGCTTCATTTGAGTACCAGGTTGACATATTTTTGAAAACTTTTTTTTCGAAAATATTAGGGACCCATTAAATATTCGAGGGTCTTGAGGGACCCCTTAAAATATTTTTTATTCAAAAAAAATTTAAACCTAGTGTTTTTGCATTAGATAGAACTATTTAGGGGGTGAGAGCAGATTATTTTCAAAAATGTTGTTTTTTTGGGACACCCTAATATACATACATATATATACATATACATACATACATACATATATATATATATATATATATATATATATATATATATATATATATATATATATATATATATATATATATATATACACATATATATCTATACATACATACCAGTGGTGTACACTGGACTTTTAGATGTTTGAGTTTTGACACTTACAGGTATTGTGCAAACTCCAAACTTTTGTATGTTCATACTTATGTCAAATGAGAATGTTTTGCAAAAAGTTGTGGTGATTGGAGCTTGGGGACAAAAAAAATCCCAATTTTCGGGCCCACCCAGCCCTTAACATGGGAGCAACAAGTTGACAAAATAATTTCTTAAGTATTTTTATCTAAGTTTATATTCATCAACGAATTTCAAATTTCATGCAATAAACTCTTAGTTTTTAGTTTTTATGACCCTACAAAGTTTACAGCCCCCTCAAATTGAGGGGGGTTAAAACTTTATATGGTCATAATTTCTCGAAAAAAGTTTGGAGTTTGCAAAATATGTGTAAGTGTCAAAACTCAAACATCTAAAAATCCAGAGTACACCACTGCATACATATATATATACACACACATATACATGTATATATATACATATATATTAGGGTGGTGCTTAAAACAACTTTTTTGAGAAAAACCTGCTCATACCCCCTAAATGTGTTTTATCTAATACAAAAACACTAGGTTTAAAATTTTTTTGAACAAAAAATATTTTTAGGGGTAGCTCAAGGCCCTCAAAAATTTGACGGGTCCCTAATATTTTGAAAAAAAAACTTTTTCTAAAGTATGTCAACCTAGTACTCAAAATAAGCAAAATTATATAAAAAATTTAAAAATGAAAATAATTTTTTATAAAAATAATTTTTTCAGGTATAAATGCATAAAAACTATTGTTTTTAAGCTGAAAATGAAAAAAGTCAATATTTTCAGGTTTTTTGAGAATAATTTTTTTAGGCATGTTTTTAATGTAAAATGAATATTATTTTTGAAGTTTTTATATAATATCGCTTCTTTTGAGTACCAGGTTGACATACTTTAGAAAAAGTTTTTTTTTCAAAATATTAGGGACCCGTCAAATTTTTGAGGGCCTTGAGCTACCCCTAAAAATATTTTTTGTTCAAAAAAATTTTAAACCTAGTGTTTTTGTATTAGATAAAACACATTTAGGGGGTACGAGCAGGTTTTTCTCAAAAAAGTTGTTTTAAGCACCACCCTAATATATATGTATATGTATATATATGTATAAACAAAAATAAATAAATAATTTGGAATTAGTGACATGTAAAAAAAAAAAAAAGATTAAACTTAAATATTTTAAATGGAATCACTTTTCCAGCATAATTGTTGTTGTCACAATAGGAAATCCGCTTATTATTAAAATTAATGTCAGGATAATGATAATAATAAATAATAACAACGAAAATTAAAATAGAAGAGAAGCTGTGCTTTAAAAAGATACAAAAAAATTTCTTACAACAATTGGCTGTCGAAAATATTCTTGCAAAGCAGCTTGGTGCAGGCTTGTTAGATCCACACTATAAAATGCTGTTTGACACCTGCAATTGTTAAAATATATTATTTATAAAAAACTACTGCATATACAATCAAATAATGATTATAACATTATAAAAAATGATTATATAAAAATTTTTGCAAAATGATTTTAATGTAAAGTTATTAAAAAAATTAATTAATTATTACATAAAATGTACTACAGGATTATTTGCAATAGAAAATTTTATATGCTTTTAAACAAAATTTACCAAAAATTGGATTTTCCGAAATGTTCCATAAAAAGAGCATCATCGGTAAATGGAGCAACATACAAATCACCTTTAGTTGGGTACATATTACCTATATGGAAAATGATACATTTAAAGAGCTAAAAAATTGATACGGAATAATTGAAAATTTAAATTTATAAGGTTCAAAAGACTTTTTTAAATTAAAAACTTAACCAATAGTTTGCTACTATATACTGTAAAACTGCTTTGGTTAAGTCACTTAAAACATTCTTATCTCAGACATAATAAAGATTTTTTTTTTTTTTTTTTTGGAATTATACAGACTATATTGTTAATTTCTAATGTAAAAACAAAATAAAAAAAATAAAAAATAGCATTAGATATTTTTTTTTTTCAAATGAGAAACAACTAGTTTGACCTATCACAAACTTAAGATTAAATTAACACATTGCAATAATATATCACAATATCACAAATTTAATTTAAAAAATTATGAAAACTAATGTTAATTTCTAATGTTAATTTGTAATGAAATTACAAAAAAAAATTAATTCAATTTTTAAAAATTTTTTATAGCTTATAAATTATTAAAAAGCAAATATCAAAAATTACTTTGTTTATTTTAGATTTCAATAGTATGCACGATTTCACTCTTATATAGCAAAATAATTATTTGAGCCGATTTCAAATTAATGTTATCAGTTTTTAATGATTTTTATGCACTAAGTTTGTAAAAATAGAAATACATATGCATTTTTATTATTTAATATTAAATGCCTGAAGCTACATAAAAACTGAACTTAAACAATTTTACTTATATATATATATATATATATATATATATATATATATATATATATATATATATATATATATATATATATATATATATATATATATATATATATATATATATATATATATATATATATATATATATATATATATATTTGTTAAAAGCAGCAATTTGCACAAAGTAAAAAAGTTTTTGAGCAAACTTATAGTCTATTAGTTCTTGGAGATTTTCATTAGAGATAGTTCTTCAATGAACCCATTGATTAAATCAATTGATTCATTGAATTATTAATTTGAATTATATCAGTTGATTATTATTGATTTAATCAATAATGATCGACTTATTTTTAGTATAATGTTAAATTGTTTTTTACGTTTAATAAAAAGAAATAAAAATATACCTCCTGGTTTTAGCCATTTTTTTGCATGTAAATAAGTTTCCAACATTCTTTCATTAAATAGCATATATCCCATTGGTTCTGATATGATGATATCAACATTTTCTGGTAAAACAACCTAGAGTATAATTATAAACTTGTATTAAAATATAATGAAAAACAGACGAGGAGCCCATCTGCAAAACACTAAGTCACAAAAATAAAATTTTTGAGTTTATTTTATTTTCATATTCTATATATTGATATCTATCACCTATTTAAATATTAGATCAATTGAAAGTTTTCCTAAAAACAGAGAAAGAAAAAAACAATTTCTGTTGATACACAACTATGAGTAGTACAGTTTTTTGCTATCTTCTTAAATTCAACTTACTCGGAAATATTTTGTGCAAACAAGTTAAGAAATAAGTTGTCATAAAAATTTTGTATATAATCAAATAAGAACTTTGTTGCAAAATATACTTAAATTAAATCCAGACAAAAAAAAAATACTTAAATTAAAACTTGAACACTAAGTAAAATAAGTAAAATGTAAATTCAATAATAAAAGCAATTTAAAAACCTCTTCAATCTTTCCGATTACCACTTGAACTATATCATTAATATTATTATTCTTTGCAAGTTCCTAAATTAAAAAAAATTTCTTAACAATTTCAATTTAAGATACTTTTACTCAATACTTTAAACAATTCTTTTTATATAAAAACATATAAAAACATGTCAAGCATATCTGAAATTATTAAAAATATGCTTTTTTTATATAAAAAGCATGTTATGAGAAAAAAAATCTTTGCTTATAAAAGATTGCCTTATAATTGTCCCAAGGCAAGTTATATAATTGCTTTGACATCTTTAAAGAGAAAAAAATCTTTTAATAAATAAAAAATAAATGATTTAAACATTTTGTTTATTTATTACCTATAAACAAAAAGTCAGGTTAAATAAAAGTTTATTAAAACAAGCAGTACACTTACAATTACTAAAACTATTTGTTTATATATGAAAGGGGTTATGTTTTACCGTTATGTTAGTTATGTCACATATTAATATGACATCATATTGGTAAAAAAAGTGGCACTTTGTTTATATAATTTATATCTTAATGTTGTTATATTATCGATTATCTTTATTAATTTCATGTGTGTATGTCTGTATGCACATATATACATACATGCATTCTTACATACATACATACATACATACATACATACATACATACATACATACATACATACATACATACATACATACATACATACATACATACATACACATACATACACATACATACACATACATGCACACATACATACACACACACACACATAAAACAATGCTAAGTCTCAGCTTTAAATTAGCTTTTTACCATTTGCAATGATCCTTCACAAAAATAGTATTACAATATTTTTTACTATATTGTAAACAGTACTTTTTCTATGTAAAACATATTGATTGATTGGTTGAGTTTTCATTGCATTGATAAAAATAATAACCAGGGATGTGGAGTCCCAAAAGAAATCCGGCTTTATATCTCTACTTTTTCCTAGTTTGTTGTGTCCAGAAGTTTTAAATATGTTTGTTGACTTATGATCTGCTATAAGAAAAAAATTCATGAGATTTACTGACTTGAAACTTGTTTTCAGCCCAGAGTCCTGGAGTCCTTGCCATTATACTTAAGGACTTCGGGTTCAAAAAATGATAGTTCCTCTAATCTAAAAGTCCTAATTTTTTCCTATAAGTAGTCCATAAACTTATTTATATTTTTAGAGATCCTGGATACCAAAAACAAGGATGGAGTAATTTTTCTTTCCAATCCGGAGATTTTTTATGAAACTCCACATCCCTGATGATAACATGTTTTCTAAAAGTTTATATTTATAATATCTAATATTAATAATATTAAATTATAATATGATATTATAATCTAATATTGATATTTATGTGTGTGTGTGTGTGTGTGTGTGTGTGTGTGTGTGTGTGTGTGTGTGTGTGTGTGTGTATACATATATATATATATCAACCCTTGGAGTTAGGAAAAATGAGGTTAACAATAATTTGCCGAACTCAATCTTTTCAAACACTTTTTAGTTGGCATTGCCAAATGCTAACCCTAATTCCAAGGGCTGATATATATAAAACTGGGCCTTGATTGCAAAGAGAGGATTAGTTTAAATCAGAGCTTTAAGCCATAAGGGCATTTGTTACCTTAAATAAAGACAATAGAAAGAGAGAAAATATTGTTATTGTCATTAGAAAGAGAGAAAATATTGTTATTGTCATTGGACAAAGAAGATTGATACTCAAAACCATAAAGAAAATTTAGTGAAATAAGCAAAGATAAAAACCAAAATTAGTTATCGTTTCAAACGAAGTAGAAATTTTGAAAGCTGCTTTAAAAATTTATCATTAAATAATTTTTAAAAAGTATACATTAATTCAAATCAAATCAAAGTCAAAAGGAAACAAACAAAAAAACTACTTTTTGACAAAAACGAATGAAACAGAAAACTTGCTATAGAAGAAACTATTAACAAGCCTTTTCAATATGGTATTTGAGGAAGTAGAGTCTGAAAAATCTACATCAAGTAAATTGCGAAGAAATTCAGCTGTATTTCTGGTATTCTAATACAATCTCATTAAACAACAAGTTTGATGAACTATTAATTGAATTTGAAATCAAGCAACCATAACATTTAATAGTATGTGAAACATGGTGAAATGAATCATCAACAAAAAATATTCTGAGTTATTCAGATTAGAAGATTATAATGAGAAAAAAACAAACGAGCAAATTGTAGATTTAATAAAACATTTCTATAAGTTGTTAGAAAAAAAATCAATATTCAGGTTAAATTATGTGGTGACTTTGATTACTCAAAAATCAAACGGAGAGACAAAAACATTGGCTCAACAACTGACTTGAACATTACCAAAAACAAGTTTTTATATATACAGAATGATTGTTTACTAATTGAAAATAAAAATCAAACAACATTTCAAAGAAATAACAAACATATTAGTTTTAGTGATAACAGAATCTTCAGCTAGAGTTTTTCGAATAGAACACATGTTAAACTTTATTTGAATATTTCTTGAATATTATATTATTCCTTGTTTGTTTGTTTTTTGTTTCAAAGAATACTTTGAGCTTTTGTTCTAAACAATTATAGCATAGTGTTATGTTTGAAAAACCTGAGATAATCGGTAATTACCCGTTAAGAAAAGAAAGAAAAACTACGAGTAGTTAAGTTTTTCTTTCTTTTCTCAAAATTAGTTTATTTGGACTTGGCGTGTTTTGCAAATGGGCTTATATATTTTGCACAAAGTTAATCCAAGTGTAACTTTGTTTTTATAACATTGAAAGCCTTCCCAAAAATTTTACTTATTTTCTACACTGACAAAAACATTGATGGTTTATTTTTTATCCATTTGATAGCTTCTATTTTAAAATGATCTGTTGTTGTTTGCCTTGCTAAATTGGATAAAACTTGGATGCTAAATTTTGGACAAAACTGTTCTGTGAGTGTACCATTATTGTTTAATTTGCTGGTAATCTACATTCGTTGGATTTCTTCTTTAACCCATCTCTTATGGGAGAGAAATACTTTTGTAGGGAGAGCTAGCACCTTTTTGCAGTGAATTGTCTCAAGGTCGAGATCTATTATATATTATTAATACCTGTTCTATTTATTGTATATTATTATTAAACTTATTACACAGGGACTAAAAAATTTTAGTATACGGTTTTTTTCTGTATAAATATGGCAGAGAAGCAAGTTTTTTCAATGCAAAAATTATCAATAAAAAAACAGACAATTTTTCATGAAGAAATTGAAAATTATATATTCTATAAAACTGAAGAGCTGAGTGAAGTTCCTGAAAAAGAATTTTTCAGAACATCATAAATACTGATTAAAAATCATTATTTCTGATGTTTCTGGCAGAGAAAATTCAGATCCAGAGTTTGTAGAATTATGTTTAGAGAGGAAATGCCTGCATTAGTCAATGCTCCAAGTTCAAATGATTTGAGAAAAAACTTTCTGATCTTTGTACATACCTAAATGGAAATCTGTACATCTATCTTAATGGACATACCTAAAGAAAACTTCCAATTAATAAAGTTCAACCCTTTCACTTTAGATTAAAATATGCTTCTGGAGGGTGTAACTACAATATAACCAGAACTGATCTTCTTTATTTGTATTATTATATTTATATATTTATATTGTATTATATAAATTTATATTTTACATATGAAATTTGTGAGTTTATTGTAACGGAGACCAATAGATTTGCTTCTCAACTTGGGAAAGAAAAAAATTAGGAATACTTCTTTATATATATAAAAAAAATTTATTTCAAGAAGTACTCTGGAAGCCCACATATATGATATTATAATACAAATCTATTATTTGCATATAATAGTATAAAATAGTAACCTTATAATAAGTTCAAGTGGATTGACAAGTTTATTCATTCTATTGGTACTACACTACCAAATAAATATCCTTTTTTATCTAGAATTAACATCTTATGAGACCCTGACTAAAAAATAGTACTACTAAAATTTCTATTGGCACTTTTGTTGTGAAAAATCAACTTTCTTGGAAACAATGTATTCATAGCAAAAGTGCCAGGTTTGGTATAAAAACATGTAAGTTAGAATCAGAGTATATATGAAAATTTATTTTACATACAGGGTCAGAGTTGACAAATACTTTAAGTTCAGATTATAGGTATGTAGCACCAAAAGTGATAATGTTACTTATGGATTAATTACTTCACGAGGATTACTAATTCATAGGTTATCGTGGTCATATATTAAAAATATCTGGAAAATTTTTTCCTTATAATATCCTGTAAAAATCTAGAATAAAAATGCTGTTTTTGTATTTAAGAATATCTCATGTGCTTGAAAAGAAAATTTTTGAAGTATTCTACTTCATGAAAGAAATGTATTTTAATGCTTACTTAAATAGAGTTTATAAATTAAACTAGATTTTTAGGTGAAGTAGTAAAAATAAATAAAGTGATCTTTAAATGCTGAGTGTTTACATATCTTAAAGAATCCTTAAAAAATATCTTAAATAATCCTTAAAAAATATCTTAAATAATCCTTAAAAAATAAGTTTCATACTATTTAAACATTCCAAAACAGAGTATTTATTAAAACATAAGCAAAAAACTTTTTAATAAATAATTTTTAACGACATTTTTTTTTCTTGAAAGTAAGTTTTGATTTTAACATCATTTTTTTTTCTTGAAGGTAAGTTCTGCAGTATTTATTTAAAACTTACTCGATTTTTTAAAAAATAAATACTGCATAACTATATGGCAAAACAATAAATGCTTTTTGTTAATATCTCAATAAATAAATTGATTTGGTAATTTAATTAACTCTAAACTTATTTTATAAATTGAATACATTTTTTTAAAAGGCGTTTTTTTAAAAGGGTGAATAAAAAGCAATTGCTTTTACTCAGCATTTTTCGAGTTTTATGTTAATAAAATTTTTAGTGGTTTTGCTCAAATTTTTATTAACGTAAAGCTGAGCAATTTTTTTTAGGTGCCCCAAGAAGTCCTTACAATCAGATCACAGAGTACCGCAGAAGAACATATAATAGAAAGTTCATGCCTCCTACCCAACCAATGTCGCAAAACTTGAAAAGAAAAAAAAGCATTTAAAAAAAAAAACAAGATGTTTAGAAACCATTTAACTAAAATATATTTGATATAATGGCCAAAATAAAATAAAAAAAGATGAAGAAAAAAATATTATTCTTGTGAAAAAAAAATTTTTTAACAAATACCTTTGCAAACTGGCCCATGTTACTTGCCTCAACAGCATAAACTTTTCTTGCACCAGCTTGAGCAGCAAAATAAGAAAGAATGCCTAAAAACCAACAATATTTAATCGCCTATAATTAATAGCCTATGAATATTAATGCGCATAGTTACGCGTATTGTTTTATAGTTACGGTACGGTTCTGTATCTGTAAAATACACTTTTTAAGTAGTTTCTAGACTTTTCTTTACCGCGTGCTGACTTACAGATTTCCCTTCAACCTTTCATGGTACGAGTTCAAAATATCTAAGTTGACATTAAGTAGATAATGTTTAGTAGCTTAAAATTATAGGTAATCTAAATTTTTTTTTAAATTTAAAAGTAATTAATTTATTGTAATCTTTTTTAAATTGTAATTTTAAATTTAAAGCTTCGTGTTATAGATTACTTTAATTCTTAATTTGTGTCTAGCGTTAAAATATATTTATGGGTAGTTTCATGCTTTCACTTAGTTTTGGTTATTGGGATAAAAGCCATGACAACATTTTGTTATAAATTTATCTTAATTTAATTTTTATTGAAAATTTTGTTATAAATAAAATTTGTCTTTAATATTGTTAATACTTTAGCTCTTTGAAAAAAAATATGTTTCTGGCTCTTCAATAAATATAAAATTATTTGTCTTGCATGAATGAATTTTGGTTTAGGATTTAATTGTGTTAGTTTATGTTTGTCTATCTGTAATTTATTTAGGTTATTAGAAAATTTATGTTTACAGAGTTGTTATAAATCATAATCGAGTTGTTAAACCAAGGAAATTGTGGAGGTTTATTTATCATATATACTATATATATTATATAATTATATTGAAGGGAGTAAGTTTAGAAGTCTTTTTAAATTTTTAAAAAGAAATAAAAATACTTTTCAATATATATCTGTTTTCTTTGAGGTAGAATTAAAGTTTCAGTTTTTTAAAACTTTAAATTAACTTAACAATGTTAAAATGGTTTAAACGGATTTTTGTAAATGAATTTAATCCTCAAAGATTAAATTTTTTTTATTATTGAAGAAATTAAACTAGATTTAAGAATAAGTCGACTTAAATGTTTGTTTGTTTTTCTATTTAGATGATGACAATATTGAAGCAAGTAAGTTAAAAAGCATTTTTAAATTTTAAAAAAGAAATAAAAATACTTTTCAATATATCTCTGTTTTCTTTGAGGTAGATTTAAAGTTTCAGTTTTTTAAAATCATATATATTTTAAAATCCTATATATAACTCATATATCTTTGTTTTTCTATTTAGACGTTGGTAATAATATGAAACAAGTAAGTTATAAAGCATTTTAAAATTTTTAAAAAGAAATAAAAATACTTTTTATTATATATCTGTTTTCTTCGAGGTAGATTTAAAATTTCAGGTTTTTTAAATCATATATATTATAATATTAAATTCTTTTTTACTTTAAAAATATCTATATTATAGTTACACTGAGTCGTAGAAAAAAAATTAAAGTTTATTAATAAGGTAGTAGATTATTAGAGTAGATTAAATTGTTTGATCTATTACTCAACTTAATAACGTACTATTAATATGAAGATTTATTTTGGTTGTTTGTTTGTTAAAATTTAGTTAGAGTTTATTTAAAATTTAAATTCTTTAGTTAATCAAGAGAGATCTAAATAAGGTATTAATTACATTAGTTGAATGTGGCATTTAATATGTATTTTATCAATATAAGGAATAAAATAATAAGGAATAGAAAAATTTTAAAAATTTGCTCTGGAATTTGTCAAAAGAGTGTTGTGTTATGCTTCATTTTAAGGTATCTAAATATATATTCATTAAAAGTTTTTAATTTTGTTTTTAAATGGTTTATTCTTTTTCACTACTTTAGATAAATATATACTGACTGACATAACTTCATTTTTATTAACAATGTCGTGCATTGTAGTCTGCATTCTTTGTTACATTAAAAATAATTGATGCTAATAAATGTTCTTTTATAGTTGTTAAAAGTTTGCATATATGTTTGCATTTATATTATGATCAAAGTAAAATTTTTTTTGATAAATACGTGTATGCGGTGATACTACTCAGGTATCACCGCAACTTATCTCTATCAGGTACATTGATTTTTAATTCACATATGTTTTTCTTTGTATTTACTTATTCATTACATTTTTAACTTCAGATTTATGGTGTATTAATTTGCTATAGAAGAACAAATCATTTTGAATTTTTTAAAAATATCTACACCAATCAACATTTAAAATTCAATGTAGCATATACCAGCTTCTAGGCTTTTTTGATGCTTTTCTTATTCAAGTGGTTTCATAAGCAAGGTCTACAAGCAAATTTGAGATAAAAAGTTTTTCAGCTTTCAAGGAGTATCAATGTTGTTCTCTGTATACTTTAATTTGTTTAAATAGAGTAGTTTTAGTAAATAAATGTTTGTTTGTTCTTGGTTTTTTACTTATTTGTTATCAGACTCTTAAGAATTAGGCAACTTAGCAAGCAAGATTTATTTTATTTTTTAGTGCAATTGGAAAGAGCTAAAGTGCTTTTTAGTTACTTCAAATCATTTGTTTTTATTTTTTAAATAGAAGGGTTAATAATAAAAATATATAGACAGTCAAACTGTTACTGATTTGAGTAAGTTTAATTTTTTGTTTAATTTTATATTAGATATATATTTTATGTATTTAACATGAAAAACTGACTGTAATTTTTGACAGGTAAGTTTATATACTTAAATGTGCCTATATATCGGAATATTTTATATTTCTCCGAATCTATATGAATATTATCTCAAAGAAAAAATTAAGAATAGAAAAAATTTGAATATATATACATACATATATATTACTTTAGACTGACATTGCTTCATTTTTTATACAAGATTCTGCATTTATTATTTTTGTGCATTAAGATTGTGCCTGAAGGCTTTCTTAATTTAGCAAAGAATTTAGAACACAATGCAAATAACTTTGCACTGTGTTCTAAATTCTTTGCTAAATTAAAATAATGTAAATAAATTTTGTTTTATATTTTTCAGTTGTAAAAATATAAAACGTTCATTTATTCAGTTGTAACAGTAGCATAACCACTGGTAATATATATTTAATGATAACAGATTTATAATATTAGGCTCGAAGAAGTTATTAGTGTAAATGGTTATAGGTGACTTGAAATTGTTGTCATATGAAAGAAATAGATCTAGGCATGATAAAATTAATTGTCGTTGAAATATAAGAAATTTTGCTTGATGAACCAAAAACTTACTTGGCAGAATTCAGTGTCAAGCGCTGTTGATGTCTATTATTTGACTTTACATTAGACACTTTAAAATAAAGCAAAGTATGAATTTTACTATTTATAGTAACAAATAATAAAAATTTCAGTTTTAGATGATTTTTTTTTTTTTTTTTTTTTTTTACTTTTGTAATCTTAATATAATTGTTCATTTTTTTTTTAGTTGTCTTTGTCATCACTTGATTATTTTGCTTACTGTTAAAACATGGTTTTAATTTTGTAAATTTAATATGATGTGAAATTTACAATATTAATCATTTGTCAACAGTTAGAGAGAAGCTGGAAATAAATTAAGAAATGCTGGAAATTAACTTTTAGTTAAGGTAAAAATAATTTTGTTTATTGGTAGCATAATAAAACCAGTTACTGTTATTTATTGCATGACTTTTTTACTTTTTCTAACATGGTGTTTTTAAAACACTTCCTCTCTCTCTTAGATGAGACTTAAATAAGAATTAGTATTGAGAATTGTAGAGAGAGAATTGATTGGGGGGTCGTATGGGTTGAATGGGCGGTCGTAACTAAAAACCTTTAAAAATACGGAGAATATTGTAGTTTTGCGCATTAATATCGAGTTACTTAAGTTTTATTTATGTGTTTAACTAATTAGTTAGCTTAGTCTGTATTAGCAACACTTTTGAGGAAAGAAAGAAAACATTTTTATATAAGTAGATCATTGTTTTACATTTTAATATTTTATTTTATTCACCAGGCCACCATTAAAGCAAAAAGAGGGAAGGAACCTCTTTATTAGAGCCAAAATATTTAGAAAAATTAAATTTCGAGTTACAAAATGAATTTTTAGTAAATGGTGGCAAATTACCGTTTACTAAAAATTTAATAAAATAAAGAGGCCAAATAAATGATATACAAATGGTCTGTGTTGAACAGACTTAACAAGACCCGGGTCGGGTCAGCTTGGTTTACAAATTTTTATGTCTGCTTATCTCTTATAATTTTTATTTTAGTTTGTTCTATGATGCATTAATGTATTAAAAAATTAGTTATACCTATGTTTGATCGTAAATTAAATTTTCTTTTGTTTGAAAGGTATTTGTACTCAGTTGCGTAGTATAATAAACTTTGTTATTTTTTTAAATTTATTTAAACGTGTGCATTTAACATTTTTAAGTTACCAATTTTCTTTTCTAAAGAACAATTAATCAAGGGGATAACAAAAAATTGATATAATATAAATTAACTTCATTTTAATCTTAATGGTTCGTGTTATAAAAATTATTTTAAGGATTTAGTTGACACTTTCGTCAATTTAAAGTATAACCAAGTGTTATTATTTTGCGTCAGTAACTAAAAACGTATTGTGTTAAACTTAGGAAGGTCGATGAAAATGGTTCTGCCTTACACTGTTATGACCTGTGCCATTTGTAAATTACTTAATAATGTTAAGTAGTAGTTGGTAAATTATTTTACCTCCTCATAATTTTTATGTTAATTTTACAGATGGATTAATTTTTTCAAGCTGAAGGCAATTTTTTAAAAGGGTATTAGTTAAGGTTTTGCAAGATTAAATTGTGGAAAACAGCTACTATAAATTAATTATGTAACAGACCGACCAAAACCCGTATTACGGGTTGCCTTTTGCTAGTATATATAAATGAACATATTTTTTTTTACATGTATTAAATTTATGGAAATGTTATAATGCATATAACATTTTCAAAAATTTATTATTATTTCATATTTATTCAAAATTGTGTGACTTAATATTGTTTGCATGATTACAAAGGTATTGCATGTCAATCAAATTCTAAAAAAATACACACACAAAATATTACAACATAAATGTCAATGATTAAACAAGTAAAATCATTAACCATGTTATGTTATGCTAATAACTTAGAGATAGTTAAGGCTAGCTATGTTAAAAAATAAACTTTATAATATGGTATATTTTTTTTGCAGAATTGTTCCTCTGGATAATTATGATTTTTTTTTGTTGCATTAACTTAAATGTACAAAATGTTGACCTTTTTAAAAAATTCTTTGTAAATAAACTCAAAATACTCAATTTTTACCAACATTCAAACCTTCGTAAATGCAAGTTTGAATAAACCAATAAAAATCATCCTGAGAGGCAGCAACATGAACTGCAATATATGCACAACATAAATGTGTCAATATCAGAGTAATAATGGTAGCTTCTAAACAAACTAATTTCCAGTTTTTAAATTTTCTATTTTTAAAAATGTGCAATTTTTTTTTCTCTATATAATTTAGTGCATTACTAAATTTACTTCAAATTTTCATTAACAATCTTTAGAGTTTTTTATAAAAAGTATTATTAAATGCTAAGAAGTTTAAATGCTAAGAAGTTTAAATGCTAAGAAGTTTAAATGCAAAGAAGTTTAAATGCTAAGAAGTTTAAATGCTAAGAAGTTTAAATGCTAAGAAGTTTAAATGCTAAGAAGTTTAAATGCTAAGAAGTTTAAATGCTAAGAAGTTTATATGCTAAGAAGTTTAAATGCTAAGAAGTTTAAATGCTAAGAAGTTTAAATGCTAAGAAGTTTAAATGCTAAGAAGTTTAAATGCTAAGAAGTTTATGGAGACATCTTGAGAATTATTAAAGTAAAGTTACTTGTAATCCTATTATACTATTATTAAAGTAAAGTTACTTGTAATCCTATAATATAATGCTATTATATTATAATTAAAATAAATAGAGCATAACATTACTTATTATGATATTATATTATATTTTGATATATATATATATATATATATATATATATATATATATATATATATATATATATATATATATATATATATATAAAGGATAGGACCGACTACTGCACAACTGACTATTTTAAAAAACTTCATTTACAGCCAACCATTCAAATATACACCTAAATTAAAATAGTAATATTTTTGACTTTAAATCAAAGAAAATCAAATATCTTCTTTGCATTTGACTGTTTATGTTTTTGTTATGCAAAATACTATTCTTTTTAAAAATAAAACCGGCTTTTCAGTAGAATATTCAAGATTTGCCATTTAATTTCTTACCAGCATCTGTGTAGTTTTTGAGTTAAAAAAGTGATATTTTTATTTATAACTTTGCATAAAGTTATATTAAACTTTTTAAATATTATTTAATTTAAAATAATTTAAAACCATATATCAAATTAATTGCAAAATTAGCATCTGCTAAGATGGCATCTCTTTATCATGCTCGCCACTTTCTTACTCTGGATTCTATTCTTTACCTCAAATTAAATAAATTTCAAACCCGACCTTGTATGAAATACTGTTTCCATATCTGGGGCCGATCTTCCAATGATGCCTTTTCTCTCTTTAACAAGGTGCAAAAAAGCATTGTAAAAATAGTTGGACCTGATCTTGCAGCCAACCTCCAACCATTATCACATTATTGTAATGTTGCTTCTCTTTCTCTTTTCTATAAATACTATAATGGGCACTGTTCTAAAGAGCTAGCGTCTCTTTAAAACCATACTAGTTTAAATATTAAAAAATAAAAAGTTTTCTCCTAATATAAAACTGCTGAACACGTATTCAAACCGTACAATATCATACATAAAATACAAGCTGTAAATAAAAGGGTACACTTCATACTTTAACAAGGCTGTAGAAGTATTTTTTTTGTCAAATATAGTTCTATTATTTATTCTTTAAATCCTTAAATAAAATTTGTAAAAAATAAAATAACATTTTTGTTTAAACGATAAAAGTTTTTAGTTTTTATTTAGATTTTTACATTTAAACAGTCATCCAATTTTCTTATGTTCTATTTAACAATAGAAAATGCTGAAAAAAATTTGGCACTGTGACTTTAGCACATTTTAGACTACTTTTATTAGTTTTATTATTATTTTAGTTACTTTTTTTTTTATTGAATTTTTAAACTTTTTTTGTTTAAAAAAAAAGAAGCTAGAACTCCGGATAAAAATCAATAGTCGTCCTTTTGGGCAACTTTATTGCATCATAAAAATATTTTTAGTTACCCTTCACAAAATTTAGTCACTGGTACAATCAAGTGACCACGAGTGAACACCTCTGATATATATATCGCTATTTTTCATTAGATGATTCTAAATGGATAGTCGATTGTGACTAAAATTTTCATTAATCTATCCTAAAGTCGGCTCTATTAAGGTCGGTGTATCATTTATTCTATCATAATGGTCAAACGCAAATTGTAGTTAGTCCTCGCATATGACACGGTTGTATCAGGTTTGTATCAAATACACTGACAAAATCTGTAACAAAAATATGTATCATTCCCCTAAAAAAATTTATTAAAATATAAAACAAATAAGTCTTAATTGAAATTAATAATAAAAAACTTTTTAAAAAATATGCATCAAAGAACTAAAGCTGTCAGATATAAGTGAAAAAATTAGAAAGAGAGGAAGGATAAAAAAAATTGAAAAGATATATTAAACAGAAGTTCAGAACAAAATAGTAAATAATAAGACATAATAAAGAGTATAACATAAAAATAATAAGCACCCTGCATGCAATAGAAATGATAAACTCAGAGACTTATGGGAAAATCATGAACAGTTTTGGGAAAATCATGAACATGATTTTCCCATATGGAAAAATCATAAACATTTATGGGAAAATCATGAACATGATTTTCCCATAAGTCTCTGAGTTTATCATTTCTATTGCATGCAGGGTGCTTATTATTTTTATGTTATACTCTTTATTATAATGTCTTATTATTTACTATTTTGTTCTGAACTTCTGTTTAATATATATTTTCAATTTTTTTGTCTTAAGTCTAAAAGTAACTGAATAAAAAAAAAGAAAAAAAAAGCAATACAGCGAGAGTTAAATAATGAAACGAGGGTTCATTAGGTCAACACTCTAAGTGGTTATGCTATATACGTGTTGTAAAAATAATTTAAAAATATTTATTCCAAAATTATTATCAATTACATTTAAATTTTCAAATTTCTTAAATAAATATGGTGATTCCTGAATAGAATTTTATCTCATTCATCATATATTTATATATATAAAAAATAGATATACTTTTCAAACCAAAGAGTTCTTTAGAATTTTAAAAAATCAACTTATATATTAAAGTTTACTCTACCTGTTCCTGCACCAACATCCAAAACTACCTAGGGAAAAAAAAATGTTGAAATTATTTACATATTAAATTCTCTTTTTAAATAGATTAAAATTGTATTAAAATTATTTATTATTCAAATGTCAACCAATTAAAATAAATGATCAAAGTTTTAAAGTAGAAAAAAACACCAAAACTGTTCCATCTTAATATAAATGAAAAATAAATTATTTTTTAACACATACTCAAATTAATTTTGATATTAAAATCAAAACTTATAATAGGATATTGAGTCTATGCCTTTTAGCAAATTTAAAAAAAAAAAAAAAATACACAAGGAAAAAAAAGTAGAAAACTTGAAAAAATAAAATTGAAATAGTTAAGAGCTTTTAACTCTTTTACATGGAAACTTTTTTAATTTTTTTAGGTTGTCGAGAATTTTGAGCTGTATTTAAATATAAATAACTCAAATGAAAATTTGTTTTATCTTTTTTTAACAAAACTTTATGTAACTAAAAAAAATACTTCATTCTATATTTACATTTGGATAATAACAAAATGTTGTAAATCAATGAGTAAATAAATTGTAATAAGTAATTAAAATAACATTTAATGAAATAAAACAATGATGACAATAGAAAAAAAGCAATCAATAAAAACAGTTTAAAAAACAATCATTTAATTAAAAAAATGTTTATACTTAATGTTGTGTTGTTGAAAATATACAAAGGTTGAATTTAATTATTGCTTGTGCAGCACTTTTTGGTCCAGTCGTTTTGATTGCACATTTGACAACAGCCACAGCTTGCATTTTTCTCACTGATACCATTTACTCTTTTGACTTGATGAAACTTAGCTGAAAACTTTACAGCAATTTTACCTTTTAATGTTTCTTTTGCTTTTAATGTTTGAAAAAAATGTAAAACATAACATTAAAGTACAAACAATTTTAAAATTAATTGGTTGCTTTTTTAAACTGTTTTTATTGGTTACTGATTTAATTGTTATCATTGTTTGTTTTATTTAATTAAATTCTATTTTGTTACTCTTTTTATTTTAATTATTCAATGACTTGGTTTTAATGTACGATATTAGTATTGGTCTTCACGTGTTGTTTAATTTTGAAAAAAGGTTTATGACTGCAGAAAAAGTTATACCAGAATATGGTTTAAGTTCACTCATAGCAAACTTCACTCTCAAAAATATTTTTTAAAAATGGAAAAAAAATTATTACATACTGAAAATTATTCACTTTATCAAAAAAAAAAAAAAAAAAAAAAAAACTTGTTTTTTATTAAAACTTTATAATCATCTTATTCAGAAAATCTCTTCAAAATGTAGAGAGTTGTTTCCTGAAGATGATTATATCCAAATCAACTAAATATCATGAAGATATCCAAAAATACTTGCAAAAAGTTTACTAAATATTTAATTAAAAGCATGCAAAACATTCTCATAACTATTTCAAAATACCCTCTTTTTCATTCAACCTTATTTTCTTCTATTCATAAAACAAGATTTTTTTAATAATTACCCAGTTTTTTATGCTATTATGGCCATACAAAACCGAAATATAAAAATTCCATTAGTCCTAAAATATGTTGATTAAATAAATGTAAACAAAAAACTAAATTAAATATTCTTATATAGACATGTATATAAAATAATACTTATATTATACCTAGAAGTATTTTATTTATAAAAACCTAAAAGTATATTTAACTATTAATCTCCACGGTTATCAAGTGATTGGAAACTGTTATCACTTTTCAAACACACACAAAAAAAATGTTGCAACTAAATCAAAACTTATTTTTAAAAAACCTGTCAAAGATTATAGGGCCAATCAGAAAACTGATTATAACCATTAAATTTAATCAATTAACTTTTGATTTTGAACAATTAGATATTAAATTGTAAATTATAAGTTTTTCAATTGTACTCTTAAAGAAACATTTTCTTTGAAAAAATTTTTAAAACGATTTTTAAAATGATTTAAATGCAGCATATAATTTTCAACAGAAATATTTTTTAAAAACTCAATCAAAATATACCTTTCCTTTAAATTCATTTGCATTTTGCAATATAGCACTTTGATATGTAGACGTTCGTATATAATCCTATAGACAATATTAAAAATTAACAACAACAACAAAAAGGTTCAATAAGAAAAAACTATTAAGCAAATAAATGTTTAAGTCTGATGATGATGATAAGACCGGTCAGTCTCATCATCAGACTATTTTTAAAATCTAAACACACAGACACATATCAGGCTTAGCCAGAAAGGCATGCAATTGCATGCTATTATAGGTCCACACAAATAATACTTTGTTTTGGCAATTTGACCAAAGCTGTTAATATGTTTTCAAAATTTAAAAATGCACTAGAAAAACTTAACTAGATTTTTATATATATTAAAACTAAAATAAAAACTTTAAAAAAAACTTTATTTGAAAAAAAAAAAAAAAAAAACTTAATGAAAAATAAAAAAGAACTTAACTAAAACTCAAAAAACTGAAACGCTATGCGCTTGAAATATTAAATTTTAAACGCTTGAAATATTAAATTTTAAGTCTTTTATCTTTACTAATGTTTATATAATTTTATGGGAAACCTGTTCATTAGAAGTAAAATGTTCGCGAACATTTTACTTCTATTGATTGTTTTGTAAATATTCACATTTAATTTAAATTATGTTTTTTTTTTACTAATTTAAAAATAGTAAATTTTCATGTAAATTCATGCTAGTAAATAATTGCACATCAAAAAATAATAATAAATGAATTCTTTTTAAAACCAATATTAACAAATTAAAGATCAAAGTTAATTAATTGAAATAGCTTTCAAAAAAATTTGTCTTTTTTTTTTCAACAAAATTTTTTTATTTTTAAAGTGTATTAACTTTAATGATTCTTATATAAAGTTTATTGAAGAGATTATTGTTGATTTAAAAATCGCTGCGTTATAAAAACAAAATAATTTTTTTTTAAATACCATTTGTGTGTGTATACATATATATACATATATATATATATATATATATATATATATATATATATATATATATATATATATATATATATATATATATATATATATATACAAATATACAATTGGTATTTAAAAAAAAATTATTTTGTTTTTATAAACAGCAACTTTTTTAAAACTTATATACAATTTCATATAAAACAAAATACTTTAAACAAAAAGACCTAACTTTTCCTAATTCTGAGGACTAGCTAATACAAAAACATTAGTAGTATAAAAGTTTCAATGTTATTTATTTCTAAGTTATTAAATTTTTTTTTTTATTGAGCGCATTTTTGAACACTTTGGGCCTTTTTTTTTAATTTTCTTTTTTGTTAAGATTTCTTTTTTTAAATAAAGATTTTGTTAAGTTTTTTGTTAGTTAAGTCTAGGTAAGTTTTTCTAGCACATATTCAAATTTTGAAAACATGTTAAAAGCTGTGGTTAAATCATTTTTGAACGCGAATTGATACTACGATACTTTGTCTAATTCATGAAAAAATTTTTAAATATTAGAATAAATCACCTCTTATTCTCCTGGTTTATAAGGTAGTTAACTAAAGTTTTTTTAAACCTTGCTCCATATGGTAAATGTCTTAACTCTGGAATCAATTTAGTTGATCTTTGTTAATCATTTTCTAATTTTTGTACATCTTTTTATAACAGGGATTCAATATCAATGCTATCAATACCAATATTCAAAAATAGGTCTTACGAAAAGTGGAGGACAAAACTTTTTTGTTTATTTTTTTGCTTTTGTAAGTAAATAATTTCATCACTGATGAAATAAATGAAAATACTGATAAATAATTGACAGTGGCACTAAAAACTTTCAAAGCAAAATTTAAACACAAGGATTTACTTCATATTCACTAGATTTATTTATGTTCAATTTTGACAAATATGATTTTACAAGTATTGATTGACAGCTTTTTTTCCTTATCTACTATTTGTTTGTGCTTCAAAATTACAATCATTTGCATTATCTTCTTTTATATAGACAGAATGAAAATACTTATTTAAAATATTAACAATACAAAGTTTATCATAGATTGTTAAACCAGCATATTATTAAGTGCTCTTCTATGATATTTTACTTTCTGCTCTTTTAATAGGGTTCATTTTTCACCATATTTATTAAATTTTAATCTTAATTTTTAACAACATTTTTTGTTCGCTTTAAAATATTTTTTTTTGGTATATTCCTCTTTTCATATTGACCAGCAGTGGATCCATTCGGATCACCGTCTTGGCGAGTTTTTCTTGGTTTTTCGGAGTTCAAGAGAAATCGAGAAAGTTCGAGAGAAATTGAGAAACTTCAACAAAGTTTTTAGAAAATATCAATTTTTTACTCATAAAATAATTGAATTTTTAATTTATTTCTACATGGTTTTTAAAATTTTAATTTTAATTTTAAAAATTGATTCAAATGTAAGAGTTCTCTTTGTTTAATAACAACACTAATATACATCGCAAAGCATTTGATAATGCACAGTGGGCTAGGTGATGATGGTGGAAAAAATTTATTCTATTCAAAACCATATAATAAAACATAGTCATACTTTTCTATTGTACTATATTAAAAACTCTTTTGTGTATAATAGTATATTACTATTATACACAAAAAATACTAATACTTATATAATAAGTATTAGTATTTTTTTAAATCCACGAAAATCAATTGCGGTATAATAAAATGTAATGCATAATAAAAAGCAAGAATTTTTTAATTTTTATGCAAAGATATAGTAAACAGTAACTTTTAAAATATTATGCGAATGTGATATTAGTTTAGATATTTTAACTATTCAATAGTTTACTTTTACAAAAAAAAATTTAGTCAAGATTATTTTATTTTATTATTTATAATGTAAACAAAGTCTGGTTGTAAAATAACGACGTAAGTTTTAATTATATAATACTTTCATTTTATACAAGTAGTGTTGAATATCGTATGATCAAAATAATTTTGCCCACCATAAGTCTAATATCCGGCCCACTGTGCATAGTGGCAAACTTGTGCAATAAAATGTTATCAGTGATAACAAGTAATAATAATTAATGTTTAATTATACTTACCTATCAGAATAAATAACTTAATAACTTAAAATGTGATAACTTTTCACAATTAAAATTGTGAAAGAGTGAGGTCATAATCGAATTGATAATTTTTCTTTCATAGAAAAAAAATGGTTTCGGAAGCATAGAAACACTTTGATTAAGTTGTGTTAAATGATAAGAAATATAAAGATTGCAAAAAATATAATAAAAGAATCGCTTGTCCAGGAAGCAGCACAAATGGCCTAATTGGACACATCAAAAGTTAAAAAATAGATTTGAAACCATTCAGTTCCAGACCAGTTTTGACTAAGATGTCATTAAACTATCTTCTTGCTAAATTGACAGCTCTTGCCATCAATAACCATATATTTGATTAGGTCCATAACTGAATCAGAAACACTAAGAAATGCTTTTCGAAATATATGGGCATAGTTTGCCTAAGTCAGCGCCCACAATTTCAGAAAAAATTAAGATGTTTCATGCTGAAGCAAAATATTTAATGATCGCTGAATTTGGACTAACAGGTGACAAATGGTGTAGCAATAGAGGTAGAAGATACTTCAATTTAAATGTTCATCACCACAGAACGTATTGATTAGGAATGGTGAGATTGCTATCTCCTAGTTCTGCTGAAAGATGAGCATTGAGTCGTTATTTGCACAATCCCAATTTTTTTTTAATAAAAACCACACATTTTTTTACCCTTCCAAAAAAGATATTCAAGATATTCAAGCTGCAAAATTATTTGATGAACTATTTGCAACAAAAGAAAATAGTCTCCAATCAAAATCAGATGATCACGCTAAAAGCAAACAAGAACCATCACAATCAACATCTTTTTTTGCCAAAATTCAAGAAGTTCTAAATCAAAATCAATCAGCAGCTAAAAAGCCAAAAAAAGTCAAGACCTTCACCAATCAGTTGAAAGAATATGAAGTAACTGGTGTGAAATCAGAAGCAGTTTTGAAATTTGAACTAGCCATCCACAGAATTCAAGCAACTTCCTTGGAAGCAGAAAGAGTTTTCTCCTCGTCTTCTAGATTTGTCACAAAGTTTTGTAGTTCGCTTTCTGATGAAATGATAGATGTTGTAATCTTTTTAAAATATTATTTAAAAAAAGCTTTAGAATTTTTTTTTAATTTTTTTTTTTAATTTTTACAATAAAAATGTGCCCAAGAAGTATTTTTACATAGCAACGGGGAAGTAATAAACATTTAACTGAAAGTTCATGCCTTCTTCCTAACCAATGCCGGTTAGAAGGCAAATTATTAGATAAAACTTGTTTGTTAAAAAATTGTGATAAAAAATTATTCAAGTACTAAGAAATATAAAAATATAATTTTTGTTTGTTTGTTTTTTTGCAAATAAAACACCCATTTTCTGCCAAATTTCTCTGAATATATACAAATATATACAAATATATATATATATATATATATATATATATATATATATATATATACATAAATTTTATTTCTGATCATATTGATTAAGCCCTCTCTCTTTATCCATCAGCCAATATTGTCGTTGTCGGTGACTTTAATGTTCATCACACTGAATGGCTTTGCTGTTATAGTCTTGCAGAAGTTTCATACCTGTTATAGTCTTGCAGAAGTGTTCTCTGGAATCATACCTGTTATAGTCTTGCAGAAGTGTTCTCTGGAGCTGTCATCTATTCTTTCAAAACTATTCAACAAGTGCTTATCAGAGTCTTGTTTTCCAGCCTGCTGGAAAGCACCATCTGTTATTCCTATTTTTAAAAATTCTGGAGAGCGATCTGATTCGTCTAACTACGGTCCCATTAGTCTTCTTCCTATCATAAGCAAGGCTTTTGAATCTTTAATTAACAAACACTTAATCTCTCATCTTGAATCTAATAACTTACTTTCTGATCATCAATATGGATTTCATTCTTCTCGTTCTATGGCTGATTTGCTAACAGTAATAACCGATAGGTTTTATTGTGCATTAGATAAAGGTGGAGAGGTTAATATTTCTCGACATTTCTAAAGCGTTTGATAAAGTTTGGCATGCTGGTCTTCTCCATTAGCTATCAACTTATGGTGTATCTGGAAACATCCTTAAGATTATTGAATCCTTCTTTTCCAATCGTAGTATAAAAGTTGTCCTTGATGGACAGCACTCTTTTTCTTATTCTGCAACCTCAGGGGTTCCTCAAGGTTCAATCCTTGCCCCTATACTCTTTTTAATTTACATTAACGATCTTCCAGATATTCTCACATCTAAAGTGGCATTGTTCGCTGATGATACTACCATTTATTCTTGTCATGATAAGAAGTCAACATCCTCTGATTGCTTGCAGGGGGCATTTGAGCTTGAAAAGGATCTCGCTTCTGCTAAAGCATGGGGCTCACAGTGGCTGGTGAACTTTATGTCAGATAAAACTCTTTTTATTTCAGCCAATTGTTATCGCAATAATTTAGATCTTCCTATATTTATGAACGGTAATGTACTTGATGAGTCATCTACCCTTCATCTTCTAGGATTAAATCTTACTTCTGATCTTTCTTGGAAACCATATATTAAACCCGTTGCAAATTTAGCATCTGCTAAAGTTGCATCTATTTATCGAGCTCGACACTTTTTTACTCTGGATTCTATTCTCTATCTCTATAAATCTCAAATCCGGCCTTGTATGGAATACTGTTGCCATATCTGGGGCGGATCTGCTAATGATGCCCTTTCTCTTTTAGACAAGGTGCAAAAACGCATTGTAAACATAGTTGGACCTGCTCTTGCAGCCAACCTTCAACCATTATCACATCGTCGTATTGTTGCTTCTCTTTCTCTTTTCTACAAATACTATAATGGGCACTGCTCAAAAGAGCTAGCGTCTCTTGTGCAATCTACTAAAATTCACTCTTGTGTTACTCGTCATTCAATTAAGTCTCATCCTTTTTCTGTTACTAAGTGCTCTAAAAACTCTTATTTGTCTAGTTTTTTTCCTCAAACATCAGTTCTTTGGAGTTCGCTTCCTTCATCTTGCTTTCCTGATTCATATAATTTGCTATCTTTTAAGTTGTCGGTCAATCGTTATCTTGGTCTACAACCTTCATCTTTTCTCTTCCAGTAACTTCCAACACTAATTAGTGGTTGCTTGCAGCCTTGTTGGAAGCGAAGATGTTCACACATATACATACATACATATATTTTTATATCAGGAGCTATTCTAAACTGTTTTCGACAGCGTCGACCATATTTAAGCACTGATTTGGGTGCCGCCCTAATTTAAAATTGAGGAGCTTGTTTTTTTTTGTTTTTTGTTTTTTTTACAGTTTTTAAAGGCAAATATTGTTTCTTTCGCGAAAAAACACCAATATATGACAATATTTCCGCTAAATTTCTCTGGAACAGAAGGGGTACTGCCGCCCAAACTATTTTCCTGGAATAGCCCCTGTGTGTATATATATATATATATATATATATATATATATATATATATATATATATATATATATATATATATATATATATATATATATATATATATATATATATATATATATATATCTTTTATTATCTCATGATGGCTTCATGTTTAATGGTTAAAATTATATATTACAAACATGTCTTCTTTTTATTATTGCTATCTTATTTTATAGTTTTGTTTCGGTGTTCTACAAACTATCGTTAGTTTACTTGGTCTTCTGATAAAATATGGTTTTAATTTAGTAAATTTAAATGATTTGAAATTTACTATGTTGAAGCTTATAGCTTTTAAAATGATTAATTTGGGTAAGTATAATTTTTTTCTGGTCACATAAAGCACTGTAAATTATTATGTCTTTGCTAATTTGTGTAATAGTTTATTGTCTTTGCCATAAGTGTTTTTTATTCTACTATTTTTAAAACTGTTTTATAAAATAATGCAGTTTCTTTTAAGTGTTATTCAATTTCATTAGAATTTATGAAATCTTACCAAATAAAGTATCTTAATATATCTTAAAGCACCTCCTAAAGATATTCAATATCTTTTTATAATTTTTTTCAAATAGTTTATGATTTGTTATTGTAGATGCCAATTTAGTTTTCAATTGACTAAATAATCTAACTCAGTATTATTATTTAGATAATATTAAAAATGAAGGAAACTTTGTTTACTTGTTTTAAAAGTTTATACTTCAAAATGTTTGTTTATAACTTAAACAAATTTTAAAAATATATATTTAAATAGATAAAAATATATATTAAAAAAAATTAATTTATTAAAGTTTTGGTATGTATTTGTTTATTTGTTTTATAAAAACAGCAGTAACATCGGTAGCATTAACAATTGAACTAAAAACAGCAATAGATTGATTTGTGGTGTTCATATGTAATGTCTTTACTTCTTTTATCAAATGGTAACTGCTTTTTTTTTCTTTTTAGATCTTTTTAGATCTTACAATGCTTTCTCAGCATATCAGAGAGAACGAAGAGGGACTTCATCCAATAATTAGGGCAAATACTCATCCCCCATCCTCTTTCTTGGGAGATTGCCCTCTTTAGAAAGCAAATAATGAAGGGAGGGAGTGGTAGGAAAACATTATGCCGCATCTACAAATAGTTATATTGTAGTTTGTTTATTTCTTATATGTAGATGCAGTTTAATGTTATTTGTAAATATATATTTTTCTTTTCAAATTTTTTAAAATATATATATAGCAATTGTAAATAACAAAATGTTGTTTTGTTAAATTTATGTGGTTTGTTTTTAAAAAATTATTTTTTTTAATATAAATAAAAAAAATATTTTTGTTTTGTTTGTAAATTAATTTTGTCAAAAAGATATATATATATATATTTTTTCTTAACTTAATATAATTTATACTTTATTTTGTATTATATTATTCCTTTTCTTTATATAACTTAAATTATGCTTTTTTTTTAATTGTCAAAAAGTTACATATAATATACAATAATATATAACATAAACAAAAATATACCTGCATCATATTTTGCTGTTGAGAGAGATAGCCATAAAACTAAAGAGATAAAAATCTGAAATAACTATTTACATTGGAGTGTGTGAGAGAGTATTTTTAATAATGCAAGTTAAATCATCATAAAAATTCTTAAACTAAACTCTTTGTTTTAAATTTTTGTGGCAAAACACAATGTTGATACATAATTTTCTTTCCCACTAAACTAGTTTTTAAGTAATAAAACTTTTTATCTGAAAATTTTTGTATCTTCACGCCTTCCCAGGAGATGCTTGCGGGTTTTTTGTCTTGTTTGCCCGTGAAAAAGCTTTTTATCTAGACAACTTGATCATGTTCATTTTCATTTGCATTTTTATTATATTTTGCAGTTTTATTATATTAAGTGTTTCAATACTTTGCGGCAAATACAGTTTTATTATATAAAGTGTTTCAATACTTTGCGGCAACTTTGCGAAAGTGAAACTAACAAAATAGAAAATTAAAATAAATTTAATTAGAAAAGAATGAAAAAAAAATTAAAAATTTAAATAATTTGTGTACTGTTTCTACTTTCGGTTTTTTAGGCTTGTTGTTATTAAATTTTGTAATTCAAAAGTTTTTTTTGTTGCAATACAATAAAAACAACCACACTATAAAAAAAAAAAAAAAAAAAAAATATTGTACACAAATTATTTAAATTAATAATTTTTTTTGATTTAAACTTTATCTTCCTATTTTGTTAGTTTTTAATTGTATAGAAATGCTTAATATTGTATTAAGCATTTCTATACAATTTATATTATAAAAAACTTGCAAACGCCCATGACCAAATTGTCTAAATAATAAACTTATGCATGGACAAATGAGACAAAAATTGCATGCATCTCCTGGGAAGGATCAAATTTTACTATTATAAGAGATGGTAGCTTGTTTGAGCAGTAAGCATGGCAGTATTTGTTGAAAAAAGAAAGAGATGCAAACTTACAACATGAAACAAAGACTCAAGCTTGGCAATTAGAGCAGGTCCAACTACATTTAGAATTTTTTGCATTTTATTTAAAAAAGAAAAGGCACCAAAAGACGAATCGTTTCAACAGTTTCAATACAGGCACAAATTCAATTTTTATAATATCTCTACATAGAAAAAAAAACCTTTTAAACTCATTTAACATGCACTTACTTGAAAGTATTGAACAGCAGAAGATTCTTCTGTTCTTTCATCAAATATCGACAACTTATTTTGCTTACCATGTGTTATTTGATTAAAAACACTGCTGAAACGCTCCATTTCTAAAGTTATAAAAACATAAATTACCACAATAACCACTACACTCCACCAGAGGTGCAAGCAAACTTTGTTTTTTTTTTGTAATTATTTTGTAATCTTTAGTACTAGTGGTAAATTTATTATTACATATAAACAACAAATACAAAAAAAAGTTGGGTAATTACTAAATGAAGTAAACTATAAAAAAAAAAGTAAACTACAAGAGAATATAGTAAACATGCAGAAATTCATAACTCTACAGATTCAGGTCTTTTTATATATCTACACAAAGATTTGAAGTTGTTTTTAAAACATTATTTATTACAGAGACTTTTTATTATTTAAAGCAGAGAATTAATTAAAACTGACTAAAATTGAAAAAAACATTTTGGTTATTATATCAAAAGTTAATATAAATACAATTTATATTAACTTGTAAATACAATTTGATATCTTTATAGAGGTTATTAAGGTATTTGAGGTTTTTAAAGGTGAGTTATTAAAGCTGTTTAATAATTTTAAAGAATATAACAAACTTTAATAATGGTCTTTATAAATAACTTTAATAATAAATAATGGTCTATATATATATATATATATATATATATATATATATATATATATATATATATATATATATATATATATATATATATATATATATATATATATATATATAAGAGCTTGAAACGGCCTTTAAATAGCGCTTACTAGTTTCATTACTGGAAACAGGCGCAGTAAATAGCGCTTACTAGTTTCATTACAAGAGTAAAAGACCGCACTCATCTGAAGAACTTGCATGTGAGAAAATTTTAAGTTGATTTAATAGAAAATATTTTTAGTACAATTTTTTTGCTTAAGTCAAAATATGTTTAAACAGTAGAGTTTGCATATTGTTAAATAAAGAAATTATATTTCTAATAATGTCACGCATAACTTATGCATGACCTACTTAATTTCAATTTATGCGGCATAAGTTCAAATGAAAAATCTAAGTGCACGAGAGCCAATGGTTTATTTCTTCTATTTAAAAGCTAAATTTAGCATGTTTTTTTTTTAATTCCAGTTAAACTTTATCATATTGTCTGCTTAATCGTACTCTGGTTAAGTTAAACCATTCGCTAACTCGAACTGTTTTTTTTTACATTTGACAAAAAACTTTGCTTAACTTGAACTTTTACTTTAAATTACGTCTATGTTTTAAATTACAACTTTCGCCACAAATGCATTTCTCAAAATATACGCCAGTATACACAGACTTGGCCAGGAAGGTGTGGGATTTTAAGTCTTTCTATGACCATGCAAATAAATATTTTGTTTCGATGATTTAATCACGGTTTTTAACAAATGCGCTGAAAAAATTGGTTTTAATAATAATAATAACTTCCACACATTTATCTTTACTAACATTTTTATATTAGCAAAACGCTTTTAAATAAAGTAGCTAATTATTTTAATTAAAGTTATCATTATTTAGTTATATAAGATTTTTTTTATAAGTAAAAATAAAAAAAAGTAAAAATTATATATATTATAAAAAAATATATATTATAAGTGACGACTTTAAACAGCGAAGGTCCTCTTAATAAACTTTATATAATAACCATTAAAGTTTTTGTTAAAAAAAAAAATACAATTTTTTTTGAAAGCCGTTTGAATTAAATAACTTTGATCTTTACTTATCTTTATATATTATTGAAACCCATTTAAATAAAGTAACACTGCTAATAATTTTTTATAAAAACATTAATGAATAATATATATTTTTTATATTTATATAAGTATTTATTTTTTATTATAAATGCTTTTAAAAAAAAATTATATCAACTTTTTAAATAAACAATTTAATTATTTTTTCTTTTCTGCTGTTTACGTCAGAAATTTTTATCAATGCGGATATTATGGTAAGTCTTTTATTTATTGTTTTTCTTTTTTTGTTTGGTAGTTAATACCAACTGAATTAGGTGATCGCATCGACTATAATCTTTTTTACTTATCGGCATAGATTAATTTTTTTTTTTTTACTTATCTCATATCATTTCTTGATTAACTTTTTTAAAAAACCAACTCTGAAATATAAGTTAAATACAAAAAATGTTTTATGATTATAACAAACTGAGAAAATTAGATTTCTTTACATTACTGCTTACATGCATTTAAAACATAAATAAAATACTAAAATGTAAATTAAATATATTTAATAAAATATATATATATTTTTTATTACAAACCGGTACTAGAAATTTAAAAAACAAAAAAACTAGATTTACTGCTTGCTTGAATTTAAAAGTCATTTTAAATTCAAAGTCATTTGAACATTTTATGACTGAATGAAAATAAAACTATTGGTGTTTTTCGTTGCAACGATAGCTTGCAATCGTTTGCAATCAATATTTTTTTGCAATTAAACAACATCAGTTGTTGTTTGTGCTGAGATTTTGTAATTGTAACTTCATTTTGCTGCATAATTAATGTATATTAAGGAAATTAATATTAATTATAAAATTGAACTTGCAATAAATGTGAAATATGAAATTTACGAGCATGTTTACTATTTTAAAACTTTTTCCATTTTTCTAATTCTATAACATTTCTTTTGACGAGATGTATTACATGATGGTGTAAGGGTTTGCCCATAAAGGACGTCAAGCAGTATTTAATATGCCTGTGTTTGAGAAATATGTTATTGATTTAATTTTTTTCTCAATTTGTTCGTGTATCAAAAAAGAAATTGATTCACACAAATGCCCACCAGTGAAAAAGAAATATTCAAAAGAATACTTTTAAAATAAATGCAGCAATGATATATTAAGTTTAAAAATAAATCAACTAAATAAATCTTGATAATAATTAATATACACTGATTAAAATAATATAAAAATATATAATTCCTAATATATCTTTAAAAATCAGAGAACGAATTTGCTGAGTCGTTGTGAAGCCAAATTAATTTTGTGTTGATCATATTCATCTTCAATAAATGTTACAGACGGTATTTTCTTTTTTTTTTTTGGTGCTGTCCAATCATTGTATGCTGAGCTGAAGTGTAGTGGAAGAGAAAAGAAGAAAAGAAAAGGAACCCATGCAATCCACATTTTAATCTCAGGGGAAGAGGGGGACTAAAAAATATTTTGACAAATTCGCAATTTTGTAAAAACCCTGTATCAAATTTATTTCTGGTTAACACCCTGGTATATAAGTTATTTATTTATTATGTTTGTATAAGTATATATATACTTACACAAATATGTATTATATTAGTATAAGTATATTATAAGTCTATTATATATTTATTAAGTATATAATTATCAAGTATATAAAAAACTATTCATTTGATAATAAAAATTAAATCGTGCATTCAGTTTAAATTAGAAAGCAGTTTTCTGTTTTGTACAAACAATGAATGGAAAGTTATGAAGTCATTACTGTTAACAGATAGAATGGAATGTTTACTATTTTCAAAACATTTCATACTAATGAGAACAGAAAATTTAAATAAAAAAATTAAAGCTTGATAGAATTTTGAAAAATTAAGTTTTAATTCTCAAGATTTATTTATTTTAAAAGCGTTTCTGTTATTATTTTAAAATGTTATTAATTAAAATTTCTGTTATTTAGAATGTTCGCAATACAACATGTTAATTCAACTCCAAAAGAAAACATTTGAAAAAAAGTTATGTTGTCAACTTAGTAAATGGAGATATTTCATTGTTTTATATATCAAAGCTGCAGTAAGATATTTTTTCTGGTAGATTTCCTTGACTTCACATAAAAAAATTATACAATTTGGAGTTATAATCATTTTGGGAAATCATTTTAAAGTTTTATTAATAAGTTTTATTAAACAATTATTTGTGTTTATTTTTCAAACAAATTAAATTGAATATTTTGCAAAATCATAAATATCTGTGACGGAAACTTTTTACAAGTCTTGCCTCGTTTTCACGATGTTTTATGAAAGCTTATTGGCTAATGTCACGTAGAAACAAAGGTTCATAAAAAGTTTTCGTCGCAGATGTTTATGAAAAGTTCTATTAAATTTTAGTTCAAAACTAGAAAATCGGATTTTCTAGTTTTTAACTCGATTGTTAACAAAAAGTTCTTTAAAATTGTTGGTGTTTAAAAATAGCTTGGGCCAGGGTCTTTTTAGTATATACTGGAACTTCAACGATTTTATAGACCTCACAATGAAAGTTACATCAAGTTTGATGTTGTAATAACATTTTTGAATGTCTTTTCATAAAAAAGTACATTGAACTCAATTTTATATATGTCTTAATCATAGCCATAGAAAAAATTTTCAATATCAATAATATTGATATACTATATATTATAGTTTTGTATTGTATTCAATATATATTATATTTGCATTATACAAGATTGTAAAATTACTCTGAGAAAAGTATACAATATTCTGACTTTTTCCCATTTATCTTGTTTTCGGCTCTACTTTGGTTTTTAGCCAGAATAAAGTTGTCTATTCACCTGTCCATAAACCTTTTTAGAAGCTTCAGATGTGAGTTTTACAGCCCTTTTTACCAACTGAGAATTGTTTGGCAAATCAGTTAGAGAAAGTTTATTGCCGGTTTGAATAGCTTGTTTTAATTCATTTGAAGTAACAAAAATTGAAGTAGGAGGTTTTATTTGTATTGAAGAAACTTCAATTAAGTCAGTCCAAACATCAGCATTGAAGTTCAAGGTCATAATTGTCTTAGCTTTGATTTTAGGTTTAAAATCTGGATTTATTTCCCTATATAACCTAATCTCCAAGATTTGATTGAGAGCACGATCTCTTACAACTTTTTCATCGTCTAGCAGCATAGCGTAAAAAAAATTTCTTGACAGCAGCAATAGGAGTTACCCTGAAGATTTTTCAATACAATCTTTTCAATTCTGTCATCCTGTTTTTTGACTAACTGAATTGTTTTATGGAGGAGCTTTGGTGTAATGCGCTGAACTTTTTACAGCAAACCACATTGGACAGACGACTTGAACTATGTACTTCGTGATGCAGTTTAGATCAAGTGTAGGTATCTCAGTTCTTGCATAAACCATCATAATTCTTAAAGCAAGAGTTAGCCAGCGTCATTACAGATAGGACCAGGTTTCTTATTAGCATACTTGACAGAAATGGAACCTTTAACTATTCCAATACAATACTCATAAAGCTTACGCTGGTCTGTACTCAGATTGCAAACAATGTCGGAATTTACATAAAACTCTATCTTTTGATAGAGCTTTATGTAAATAATTTTTATGTTTAATATATTAATGCATGAACAACCTTCATGAAGGTTGTTCATGCATGAATATATTAGACGCTTGTATACCAATAGGGCCTTTATATTTTTTAGGATCATTAGTTTGTCCATCTATTTCAGATATGACCAAGAGGTAGCTCACCCTGGTCTAACTAAATGAATGCTACGATTCAAAAGCTTTTCTAATTTAACAACTAAACAATTATCTATGCCAGTGTTAGAACTTGTATTGTCAAGAACAATCGCTTCTAAGCTTTTAACACTATCATATTCAGAAAGCACATTTAATGTTGCTAAAGCCATAGTACTACCTTTACCATTTTCTATTATCACGTGTTAGATAATTTCTAGAGTAAGGATCATTTTCACAATTAAAAGTGAGGTGATGTTCATCATCGGTGGTTCGATAAAAGAAAGGGTCCCCATTACTCTTGTATTTTATCACATGAACTAATGAATTTTTGTCTTTCTAGCTATCAACACCAATTACCTATATTTCTAAAACCTCTTGCCGATGCTTAGTGTCAATTGATTTAGCCACTCAAGCTTTTTCACAAAATACCTTATATTCTGTAATTATCTGAGATTTTTTACTCTTACTTACTATTCCATAGTCAATTAATACAGTTGTTGCTATTGCAGCTTTTGCAGCATCACTTACTTCATCACTATCTTATTGCAGCCTTGGCTAAATTAGTTAATTCTGTGTAATTTCTTTCACTAAGTATTTGCTCCTCAAACTCTTCACTTTCAGTTGTATCTAAACTTGAAGGTTCAGCACTAAAATTACTAATCGAATGGACTTCTGATGTTTTTGAAGATTTTTTTGTCTAATTAGCTTTCTAGTGGCCTCATTTTCCTCTCTAATATACTTTTTGGCGTTCCTTGTTGCCTCCGCTTGGTCCGCATTGCCTAACTGCCAACTTCCTTTTGGTCCTATCTTGCATCTTTGGTCCTTTAAATATTCTCTTTCCAGAACAGGGACCTAAAATAAGTCAAATATTCTAAATTTGAAAGTATTTAAACTTAAAGTGAATAGAATGAATTAATGGTCAAATGATTAGTGATAAATAATCATTTTAACATTACTTCATAAAAGAGCAGCAATTTCTAAAATGACTTAAGGCTATTTTTTTTCCCTAACCTTACATATTTATGAATTTAAACTGTAAATGCCTACTAATATTAATACAAAAATGGCATGAATTACCTTTCTAATTTCCTCACAGAGACAAACTATGTGTTTTATTGTGCAATTACTTTTCCGACATTTAATTCGCCTAAACGTATACTATTTTACTATAAAATCAAAACAATATAGAAACCATTTATTGCATAGGCTTACATCCATTAGTTTACGGTTGTAGGCCTTACTTTAATACCTTAGTAGAAGGCAGAGAGATGAGGTAGTAAATTGTCATTTATCTTTACAAAATATTTTTCACGTAACATTAAAAAAAAGTTGTAATAAAAAACTTTAAAAAGATTTTTGTTTACCTATCATTACAATCATCAATAATTGGAAGATCACACCAGCAAGCAGACACATCAAACAACGTTTCCAGTTTCTTTAGATTGAATTTGTTCTGCAGACAACACTTTTAGAAATGTTCTTGATATTTTATTTTTTAATGGTTTATCTTTTATCAGAGGTAGATTTGGATTGACCTTACACAAAAGCTGTTGCAAGTCACTATTGACTTTTGTCATGATTGATACAGAGTCAATTTTCTGTCCATTAAATAATTCTTTCTCAACCTTGTAATCTTATTGAATGACCTGTTTGTAAATTGGTAGATCGCTTACGGGTAAATCAGAGGCTTTTCCAGCAAATCTTTCACTATTAATACAAGTTTTATTTAAAACTTTCACAGGTCGTCTAAGTTTTTTTGAGCTCACGCTGATATGACAATATGAATTTATTATATAATTAAAAAATAAAACAAGAAACTATTTTTCAATTTAAGTTTCTAAATGAAATATGTTTTAAACTATTTGTTAAAAAATAATTAGCTTACGTTTTAGTTTGGTAAATAGATTTTTTATCGAACGCAAATCTGTAGTTTGTTGTATATTTTCAATAGCTCTATGTTTTTAAAAAAAAACCTGCATGAAAGTAGAGTTTTATTTACAGACCTTAAGCGACTCCATTTTGAATTTGCAGGTTTTTCTATTGCATTTCCCAAAAAGATTTTAATTTTTTTGACGTTTTTTTTTGTGGCAAACGAATAATATATCTACAATACATAAATCCCACACTGAGCCAAGTGTTATCATATACATGAAAGTGGCTTAGTGTACACTAGAAGGCTTTTGAGTGACCCTCTCCCCATACATGGGTATACAATTTATGGATGGCCCCATGACAACCCATTTGCTCTGAATATTGCTCTCGAAGACTTGACACAGAGCGCGCATAATCACACTCGTAGATAACGTGTTTCAGTTTTACAAGCAAGAAATACCACGCTAGGCGATTTTATTCTTCTCATGCACTGAGAGATATATACACATATGCAGATGGGATGTTAAATCATAAATCTAGCTGTTTTATAACTTCATGATATAATTTAAAAAAATTTGTTACCTGCTTTTGATTCAAACGATAATGTTATTGGCTGCTCATCAAGTTTTAACACAAAAGATTTTTCCCCAAACTGAAATCCTTTACTGGACTTATTTAAAACTGTTTGATGAAGAACATTATGGCTATCACCTACACAATATTAAAATAACTAATATTTTGTTACCATGATTTATAACTTTTTTGATAACTATATTTATATTACAATTTAATTTTTATGTATATCGTTAACAAATATATATTATATATTTATGTTACAATTTAGTGTTACAAATAACAGAAGAAAGCTATCTATGATAATCTGAAAGTTAACTTATAAGAAACTTTTAATGCTAGATTAGAAAAATAGAAGGCTTTTATATAAGAAAAATAAAAATAAGAACCTTTAGTCCATATACTTAGTTTTTTTAATTTTAAAAAAATGTGTATCTTTGTATATGTATAGTATTATATGTACACGATTTTGTTGTTTAGATAACTTTTGATTATTATATACAGTTTGACCTGAACAACTTATACAACATGCAAATCAAATTAGACAATTGCAAATTAACTTAGACAACATGCAAATCAAATAGAAATAAAACTTACCAATTTTAGAAAGTTTCAAAACAAATAGTTGTTGTTCGCCTTTTATTTCAAGAAACAAATCAGTTTCTAAACTGCTATTTGTTCCATCAGCATGGAGCAGCCTTACACTTAAATTACTGAAGCTAGTAGATGTCATGTTATTTAGAAAGTATTAGTAGTGTGATCTAAAGTTTAAAAACCAAAAGACATTACTTAACTGGAATATGTAATTCCTGTATAAATGTCTAACCAAGATAAGAATTCTTAAAATTTACAATACTTAACAAACAAACAAAATAATCTTTCATATATAATGAATTTATATATTATAATGAACATTTTAGCTAACATTAGAATTTAAGGCTGATCATGTGACATGTTGTAAAAAAAAGTATGATTTCTTTAACTAACATAAAATTATTTTAAGAACCTAACATAATTAAAATTCATCACCTTAAAATAATTAAATATTTTAGTGCAAAAATTCATTTATCTAAAGCTGCACACAATGTGCTTATTTAGTTTGTTTAGTTTTGGCACTAAAATTTTTATTATTGCTGTTATAGTTTCTATTATTATTATTTTACCTTTTAAAAAAACTTGAAACAGAAAGAGTTATAAGAAGACAATGATAGTTTTTCTACATTTCAATTTGTTTCAAGTTTTTCTAATAATAATAGTAATAATAATAACAATAATAAATAGTAATAAAATTGGGTATATGTGTAAAATCATTTTTTACATAAATACATAAACAAAAAAATAAAAAAATAAAATTAACAATGTAAGAAATTCAATATTGCATTAATAGAAAAAGAAAAAATTTTCAATTTAACAACAATAAAAGCTGAAAAAAGAAAGATAAAAAAAGTGTCTTTATTCAAAATATATTAATTATATGAACATAAAATGTCAACAGTTCAATGTCATAATTGACTTGACTCTTGAAAAGTTATTAAATTGCAACTCATTTTAAAGGCTTCTTCTATACAAGGATAAATTTTTAAATTGAAAATAGGGATATTCTTTGAAAAATTATTAAAACTTATAAAAGTAAAAAATCTAAGAAAAGTTTATACATTATAAAAGATACATTACAACGAAAGTTAATGGGCAACCCAATAACACGCGGGTCACGGATACTCATTCTGCAGAATAGAATTGACTCTAAAAAGCCGGGAGACTGACAAATTTCATTAAATGATTGTTAGCACGGCGCACCGTTCTAGCTATCACTTTCCGAAGCGCTGGCTCAAAGTGAAGTAAAACAGCATTAACTATCAAAACATACGGTTTAATTGCGGGAATACGTAATCCAATTATATCATCTCACTACTTTGTATCTTTGGCCATCTAAGTTTAATTTTATAAAAAAAAAAAAATTAATTTTAAAATAAAAATATAATAAGATCCGTGGTTCAAACCCCACCTCTGGGCAGGTTTTGCGACATCGGTTGGGAAAGAGGCGTGAACTTCCTATTAAATGCTCTTCCGCGGTGCTCTGTGATAAGACCGTAAGGACTTCTTGGGGTACCTAAAATCAACATAAAAATAAAAAATATATATATATATAGTTTATTTCTAATTTTGTGATAGCCCTATGGTTGGTTACATAGACAGATCTGGGTTTTTGATGCTTTTGGCTAATTTATATTTGGCACCATCAACAATTTGAGAAAATTCTGATTTGTTACTTTTTTTAGTTGCTAGAAAATAGTTGTAGGATTTTTCTTATCTTATTTATAACAGCAGTTAGGTAGTCTGTCGTTGCCAGTATTTACATACAATGAAAATACAAAAAATACAAAAGTCAGGAATCATACTAATTTACTGTTTATCGGCTGGTGACACCAACTGCTATTTTGTGAATCATTTTGAAGGAGCTACTATAGGGAAGTTTTAAATCACAATAATTATGTTTTTCGAACTGTTTTCAATGTATTTTCAATAATAGAATTTGCAATATTATTAGCAGTACCAAAAACGATACTGGCGTGTTTGATTTTAATACTATTCCAATAAATTAAACTCCTAATATTTCAACACTTGTAAACGGTCTTACAGGTATATGTACCGCAAAAACCACAAAAAAAAGCATTATTTTTCTTTTTGTCCTCTACTTTTGCGTAAAGCTGTTTTAAATATGTGAAATGTTGCTTATAAAAAGTTCTTCTCTGTTGGTCAATAGAAAAATATGTTAACAGCAATAGTAAAATATATCAAGTTTAAGAATATACAAGCATTAATTACTCTGCAGTTTGTGTAGAACAATATTGCGCAAGAAACAAGAGGGGAAAAAAGTTAAAAAGACTTCTTATGAACGTTAAAAAGACGTTCTGAATTCTTTTAAACGTTCAAAAGACGTCTTTTTAGGACCAAATCCCGGTTGGGAAGGCACAATGTATTATTATCTAATCTAACAAATTGGTTGCTCAAACCTGCAAGGAAAATATTCTCTTGAAGAACAGACCACCATTGAGAAAGAACAAAATCTACGTTGCAACAAAATCTACTCTGCCCATTAGGAAAAGGTTTGCCTTTACTTTATACTTAAATAACTTTTATATATATATATATATATATATATATATATATATATATATATATATATATATATATATATATATATATATATATATATATATATATATATATATATATATATATATATATATATTCAAAGAAAATCTTTAAAAAAAGAAACAAGATTTTCGGGAAGTATATTTTTAAAAAGTTTCTAACAACTTTACGAATTTTTTGAAAGTTTTAAACTAACTATCTCAACAAAGTTTAATATAAAGATTAAATATGTAATACTTACATAACATACAAAACATGCAAACTACGTATGTTTTGGTTTCAAGTCAAAGTAGTGCCCAGCAACTATCAAGCGCTCTAAATTGACCTCTCTAGCTCTTGTAAATGTACAATTAAATTTTGGACCATCAAACAATGGATTAAAAAAACTTTTGTTTTATATATATATATTTGCATTCACTCCCAACAAGGCCGCAAGCAACCACTATTAAGTTGGGAGTTACTAGGAAAAAAAGAACAGAGTTATAGAGCAAGGAAACGGTTGACAGCAGACTTGAAAAGTTGAAGGTTGTATGAGTCAGGAAAACATGAAGATAGGAGAGAGTTCCAAAGGATTGAAGTGCGGGGAAAAAAACTAGATGGATAAAAGTTTTTAGAGCATACAGGGACAGATACAGTAAACGAATGAGACTTAGCTGAATGACGAGTAAAACGAGAATGAATTTTAATTGATGGAACTAGAGATGATAACTCCTTTGAGCAGTGACCATAATAGTATTTGCAGAAAAAAGAAAAAAATGCAACTTTACGACGATGGGAAAAAGGTTCAAGCTTAGCAGATAGTCCAGGTCCAACAACATTTACAATGCGTTTTTGGACCTTGTCAAGAAGAGAAAGTGAATCGTTAGAAGAACCAGCCCAAATATGACAACAGTATTCCATACAGGGACGAATAAGAGATTTGTAGAGGTAGAGAATGGAATCAGAAGTAAGGCAATGGCAAGCACGATAAAGAGAAGCAACCTTAGCAGAAGCTAATTTAGCAATCGATTGTATATATGGTTTCCATGAAAGGTCAGTAGTAAGCGATAATCCAAGAAGACGTAAAGAGGAGGACTCAGTAAGAGGATTGCCATTCATTAATATAGGAATGTTGACCATATTACGGTAGTTGTTTGCAGTAAACAACTGGGTTTTGTTATAGTTGAAATTCACAAGCCACTGTGAACCCCAATCTATGACTGAAGTGAGATCGGATTCAAGATCAGCAGCTTGTTCTAGGTGATTGAAAAGAAAAGGCTTTTTGTCAAGACAGGAGTATAAAGTTGAGTCATCAGCAAAAAGAGCTACTTTAGATGAAAGATTGTCAGGAAGATCGTTTATGTAGATAAGAAATAAAACAGGGCCCAGGATGAAACCTTGGGGAACCCCAGAAGTTGTGGAAATAAAGAAGAGTGTTAGCCTTCAAGGATGACTTTAATAAACCGGTTAGAAAGAAATGATTTGATAATCTCAAAAACTTTCCCAGAAACACCATATGAAGCAAGCTTATGGTAAAGATTAGCATGCCAAATTTTGTCGAAAGCTAGTTTATTTGACTCAAGATGAGATGTGAGGAATTTGTTGATCAAAGACTCAAAGACCTTGCTAATAACAGAAAGAAGGCTGATCGGACGATAATTGGAGGGGTCAGAATTTTCTCCAGAGTTTTTGAATATTGGAACCACAGATGCCATTTTCCAACAAGAAGGAAAACAAGACTCAGTCAAACACTTGTTAAATAGTTTAGAGAGAATTGAAGAAAGTTATGGAGAACAATTCTGCAAGACTGTGACAGGAATGTTGTCTGGACCACAAGCTGTAGACGAGTTTAATTGAGATATGACTTTAGCAACAGAAGCCGGAGTGATTTGAATGTCTAACAATGGGTCAACCTGTTTGACTGGAATGGAAGGAAGAGAATGTCCATAAGATTCAAGAGTGGAATTAGAAGAAAAGTTCTTTGCAAATAGTTCTGCCTTATCCATGGGAGAGGTAATAAGATCAGTCCCATAAATGAGAGATGGAATGTTAGATCTACCCTTGTTAATAATGCTGTTGAAGATTATCCAAAAGTCTTTAGAGCCTAACTTCTGCGATAAGATGCAAGATTTAATGAACTGAGAATAATGGAGTTTAGCTTCAGAAAGCACCTTTTTACATCGATTTCTTGCAATAATAAATAGCCGCTTGCTCTCAAGAGAGTTGTTCTTTTGAAAAAGATGAAAAAAATGATTACGATTGGATATAGCAGCCGCACAAGAAGGAGAAAACCATGGAGTAGAATGAGGCTTGACTTGAAACCGACGAGAAGGAATAAAAGCTTCCATTCCACCCTGAAACCAAGAGGTTACGTAGGAGGCGCATTTGTCAGCTGAGAGAGAAAAAACATCAGCCCAAGGACCATCGCGAAGAAAATCACGAAAAGAATCCCAGTCAGCTTTAGGGTAGTAGTAGGTGGTGCGATGATAAGGTGAGCCCAAAAAAGAAGTACGAGAAGAAAGATTTATAGAGATCATTGCATGGTCAGAAATACCTAAGGGAGAAAAGGGAGAAACTGAATATAAGCTAGGGTCAAAGACAAGACATAAGTCAAAGAGTGAAGGTAAATGATTAGGGTTGTCAGGAAAACGAGTCACAATGTTAACTATTTGAGTAAGAGATTGAGAAATTCAGAAATTAATGGCTTTAGTGCCAGCAGGATCAGTGGTGTTAGAGCCAAGCCATTCAGTGTGATGGGCATTAAAATCACCAACAACAACAATATTGGCAGAGGGGTAAAGAGAGAGGGCATGGTTAATTTGATCAGAGATAACATCTAAGATAGCGCAATCATGGGAAGAAGGAGAACGATAAACAACAAAGAGAAAGGTGATAGAGTGAAGAGGTGCTAGGCAAAAGCACATAAAAGAATGGTCAAAGGATTCGAACCTGATTTCACGACAAATAGGGGAATTAATGCGTATGTATACCCCTAAACCTAGCATGTGACCATTGGAGTCTTTACGAATCAAAGGATAGTACCTATCAACATTGACATCTGAAGAAGGAATTGCAGAATTTAAATATGTTTCACTGAGTGCAAGCAAGTCTGGTGAATTTTGCAGGAGGTAAGACTCAACTGACGGAAAGTTGCTTCGCAGACCGCAAATATTTGTAAAAGGGGCTGTTCAAATAATACGTGACAGTCTTAGAGGGGGGAGGGAGTATTAGAAATGTCACTTGGGGGAGGGGGTGGTTTGCCTCAGTGTGACGTGACAAAAAACATTTTCAATTAAACCCGGTGGGAAATGAGCTAGCGACTAGCGAGCGATTTGCTAGCTTTATAGCAATTTTGTAGCGATTTTTTTTTCTAATTATTTTTTTTTCCTAATGTCTTTAACATCTTTAAAAATTTGATTTTTAGTGTTGAGTCTATTATAACTATGAGAATAATTAAACTTTAAACTTTGCGATTTTGTAGCAATATGTCGCTAGCTACATATCGTAGCTTTGTAGCTAGCTACAAAATATATACAAATCTAAAGCTGGTTGATAGCTGCATATTAAAATTTTTTAAACAGCTATTTTATTACGATATGACGCTAGCTATAAAAGCCAGTGAGTCTTTAGCTTATTAAGCTAGCTGTCTTCGTAGCCATATTGCTGTCTTTGTCTTTACAAATATCGATAGCTTTATGCTAACTTAAGAAAGCTGCCGATCCTCGTGGCCAAATCGCTGTCTTTATCGTTACGATTACGGCTAGCTATTCGCTTGCCGATTTCCCACCGGGAATTGTTTAACACTGCGTAATTAAATTTGTTTATATTGCAAACTCGGAGGCATTTATATATAATACTGATTTTGAGAAAAATTATATGCAACGACTTAACGTTTTTTGTTTAACTGTCATTTAACAAAAATTTTTGTTTTTGTTAAATGATTGGATTTGTTTAATTTATATTTACTCCGTACGAAATTATTTTTGTGGAAATTGTACGCATAAAAAAAAATTCTAATCCTACGAACATAGAACTAGATAGTGGGCAATTGTCTAAAAACGATTTATATTACTATCAAAAATTATATTTTATTTTTTTAACACTATTTATGTTAATAGACTAAAAAGTCAAGTGTTATTTTCGCTTCAAATATAATACATAATCGATATTAATAATATCGATTATGTATTATATTTAAAGACCTAATTTTAAGCGAAATATTAAAAGTAATATTAATAATAACATTGAAAATAGAATAATATTGTTATTCTATTTTCAATGTTATTATTAGTATTACTTTTAATATTTTGTGTCACTCTATTGCAAATAATTGGTCTAATTACTTTATTATTTTATTATTACGTAATTATTTTATATTTATATTTTTATTATTCATTAAGTTAGTTGGATTGTTAACGAATTTTAGTATTAATAATGCTATTGTTAACATTAATTCACAATGTGCTTGTTTTTAATTAATGGTTGTTAGGAAAATAAATTTATTGTCATTGTTGTTATAGAATAAAAATGTCTAGTGAAAAGAAACAACTTTACAAATCTATTTATGAAGGATATTTAAAAGCATTCGCAAACAAACCAAAGCAAAAGTCTCAAGAAGAAACAAATAAAATCTGGTCTGAGATCAAAACAAAAAGTAAAACATTACTCGATATAAATGTAGAAGTTGAAAAAAAATTGAACGAACTAAAGCAAATTGAACTTCGAAATAAAGTTGGCATTTTATCTTACTGGACAAAATTACAAAACTATACACCAAAAAAGAAAGCTCAAGTTCGTTAAAAGTTTTATAAAGACCTGCACCAAAACAAGATCAGTTAAAGAATAAAATTTTTATTTTACAAAAAGATATCGCATATTTTACTGAAAAAAGAAATTGCAACTTGTTGTCACAAGAGGATCACCATACATTAAGACAAAAACAAAAGCTTTTGATAGAAAAAAACCGAGATCTTGTATTTCGTCAAAAAGCCACTAAACGTCAAACAGCAACCAGGCTTAAAAGAAAAAAAGCAATAGAAGCTTTAGATCCGGATATTAGAAAAAAGTTGTGTGGTATTAAAAATGCAGTATCAAAAGGTCGACCGCTAGCCTGTGGTCAGGACAGTTTAATTGTAGATATTGCTTTGAAAGGTTCTGCTTCTGATGATAGGAGAACTGAAATTGTTCGAACTGTAAAAACATTAGATTTGGTTGAAGAATTAAAAAACCATGGTTACAATCTCTCCAGATCAGGAGTTTACTTAAGATTACTTCCAAGCAGATCATTGAGCACAGAAGGAAAAAGACATGTTAAGTACAAAGAACCAAACAGTGAAAATTGTGTACAATTAAAGCAGTTTGGAGCAGAGTGGGATGCTAAACATGTCAAAGAAAGTCAATACTTGTTTCAAATTGTAAAATGTAATGATCAAAACTGCTGTGGTCATCGTCGCAGCTCACTGTTCCATCTTATTCCAACTGGTTTTCTTTCTCCACCAATTTCTTTGTTCCAAGAAGAAAATGGTCTTGAGTGCAATAATACAAAGAATAACTTAGCAAGCCTCTTTTTAAACTTATCACTAAGCAAAACAATTTTTCCCAAGACAATTACAAAAAAGTTTCCCAAAGGATTGCCATACGACTACTCATGTCCGAGCATTCAAAGTTCCTTACCAAAAAGAATTTGTACCAATTGTAGTCTATATTTTGCCACTATCAAATCAATGAAACAGCACAAAACAGTTTGCTCAAGTATTGGATTATCGAATGAGATTCAAAAAGTTAAACCTCATCGCCTAGTTGCTCAACGTCTATCTGAACTCATGTGTGTCTTTTTAAATTCAGACAAAGAAACAATTGAATGGTATGATCAGGACGATGTTGATACCTCTGATCTCAACTGGCCTTCAATAATTATTGAAGAGATGGAACTCCAATACTTGAAGGTCAAAGTCCAATTTAGGAATAAATTTAGGACATGTTTCTTAAACAGAAACATGTCAATTGTATTTTTTTTTTAATATTAACTGTTACAATTAAATAGACACTTGTGAAAATTCCAAACTTTTGTCTTTGTCACGTCACACAGGGATGGGGGTGGGGGAGTTTTTTAAAATGCCACAAAATGTCACATAGAAGAGAGGGGGGGGGGGGGTCTCTAAAAATGTCTAAAAAAGTGTCACGTATTATTTGAACAGTCCCAAAGATATATTAAAACATTTAGGTGGTGGGGATGGTTTTTTTAGGTTTTTTTTTGGTTACTTTGGTCATGATTTGGGTTTAATGAGAACTTGACTCATTCATAGATAGAGCACAGTCTCCTAATCAATGAGCTATGCAGTTATCTCAGTCCTGTTAATTAAACCTAAGCCGTGACATAGGGCTCCTTATGTGGCCTTGACAATGCACATCAAAAGCATTAACAGGGACACCATTCATGCGCAACATGGCACTGTTAATACTCTGATATTTTGCAGCTGTTGATGGAATCAGCCTCTCTGAGGGCTACCACAGAGTTCGGGAAACCTTACTACCAGCCGGCCTCAGAACCATTAAACTGAGTTTTAGAGCTGTAGCCTCATATGGAGATAACAGGAAGAGTTGCATAGCCATTATCAAGGAGGCATAAGCAAAATTCTATTAGTGGAGTCTAGGAGATCCAGCATTCATCATCCTAGGCAAGAAACAATGCAACACAGGTTACATCTACGCCAGCGTAATAGATGAAGAAGGGGTTCGAGGCTGGTTAGCAGAATTTTTCTGCTTACCCCTAAAGCCTTTGCCTAGGAGGCCTTCTGCAAGACAATAGCTGGATGCAGTTAACATCTGCCCAAGATGAGTATTTTTATCGAGACACCATCTCTAGCCTTTACTCAACCAAGAGCCCCAAGGCAGGGAAATTTTTAGTCGGAGTTTATTTCTCCTAGCCTTTGCCTAAGAAGAGCACACTCTGCAAGGCAGCAGGGTTTGTGGCAGGTGGTACTGGGTTAGGTGATACCAGTAGCAAGATTGATCTTGATTATCCTGACCTGACCTGGAGTAGTTAAAAGGAGTGACTTCCCGCAACAGTACTTTGAGAAAACCAGGCATGACATTTTGGAAGTGCATTAGGAAAAACACTGCATCTAAGAAAATACAGGAGTCTAAGGTGCGTGTAGGTTTTGTAGTTGGAATAAGTACCTAGTTACTGAGCTCACGTTGCATCAGAGAATAAACAGAACACAAACAAACATAAATCAACTTACGAGTGAGTCAACACCGCGCCAGAGGTTCAGACAGAACACAAACATACATAAAAAACATATGGTAACTTACGGGTGAGCGAACACCGCGCCAGAGGTTCAGACAGAACACAAACATTCATAAAAAAACATAAAAAACATAAAGTAACTTACGGGTGAGCGAACACCGCTCCAGAGGTTCAGACAGAACACAGATATACATAAAAAACATAAAGTAATCTACGGGTGAGGGAACATCGCGCCAGAGGTTCAGACAGAACACAAACATTCATATAAGGCACCTCCAACTATAAAAAAAAAAAAAAAAAAAAATATTACTATAGGTATGACTGATATAAGATAGCACTGATGACAGGAAGCACACTCCTTCCAGCCTTTGCTTAGAAAGCAAATCCTACAAGGCAGCAGAACATGGAACAGGTTGCACTGGGTTACATGTTACCAGTAGCAGGATGATCATGAAGACCATACTCCTGACTTGACACACAACTAATCAGAACTGTAAACCAAATATCAAGCAGCAAGATAGTAGAGTTATATCTTTATAAGAATTTCTTAAGAACAGGTCAACACTTGAGTGATTTCTTCATCTGTAGTAACTTGAAAATTAGCAACGGAAAAGGAAATTCTGGTACTGTTCGGGTTGTCACTCACTGCAATGATTTATCAAGCTTGGAATTGATACCTGCACGCCGCCTCAAAAACTTTTCACTCAAAGGACTGGCAATGACACTGGAATTAAGCTACAAATTCTTGTTGCAGTATCAGAAGATTTGTCAGAAACTCACTCCAATATTGAACAAATTTGTTCACTAATTAATGCAAATAGGTTTAAACTAATTTTGGCTTGCGGAATGAAAGTTTCAAACATAAATTGTGGTGTTCATACCCATATTCAAGTACACTGTTAAAAAAAATATCGCGTTTTTTACGGAAAAGTTCCAGCAACTACCGATGACTAAACTACCCGTTATTTTACGGAAAAACCCATCGCATATAAATAGAAGTTTCCGTTAACAAGCGGATTTTTTTCGTTAAAATATAATGCGTAAACAACGTAAGGTTTGATCATCGCAGCTGCCGGAACCTTTCCGTAAATAAACGGATACTTACGTTTAAATTAAACAAGTTACTCCCGTTAAACAACGAAAAGATTGCCGTAACTCAACTGCCGGATAGTTTCCGTAAACAAAAGTAATGTTACAGTTTATATTCCATATGAAAATTTAAACAAATTATTTCTAGCAAATATTATACATATAAAATCGATGGTATGTTTTTGAAAATATTATCTCAAAATATGTTTTTGAAAATATTTTCTGAAAGTATGTTTTTGAAAATATTTTCTGTAGCAAGATAGTAATGTTTAGTAAAGTAATGAACTCTTTCAAAAAAATTATTAACAATTTTTATAAAGTATATACAAGCACATAATAATACGATTATATTACATATCCCTTTATACATTTACAATATAGATATACTTAAAAACTTATCTTTAAGTAATATATATTGGTTAAATAATAAATATAAATATAAGTAAATCAATCCAAATACATAAAAATACAGTCTTTCTTTTCTTTTCCATTTCGAGCCAACTCTAAATCTAAAATAAAAACAAAAAGTTTTTTAGTAAGGAAAGATTTTAATATTTAACAAAGTAATAAATTATAAAAAACACTCATTATGTACAATGGTTCAAGTTAAGCTTAAAGTTGTTACTCAATATGAGTGATTTAACTAAGGCCAAGCAACAAACAACTCTGGATAAAGTTAAAAACTCTTTAGAGCAATGAATAAATACCTACAAGAAATAAAAACTTAAATTGAAGTATGATACAAATAGAGGTTTTAAAGTGCGATGTAACTAATCTCAAAAAAGTTTGTTTGTCATTGTAATGGTGATAACCGAATTTCCTGCTTATTGCTGGCGCCATATGGTTTTACTCCCAAATTTAAAATTAGATTTTTTTATATTATTAAATAAATAAAAATCTTTACAATTTCTTTAAAAATAATTAATTACTAACTTTACTTGCAAAATAACTCAACAATTTAACAATAAAACACAAGTTTTCTTTTCTGTTCTATAATGAAAACTTAATTCATCAAATTATTATTTTTATTTAATATAAAACCATTTTAAAAATCAAATTTAAAATTTATTAATAAAGATACATACTTAGGTATGACCTTTAGCAACCTAAAAAATATTATTAAACATAACTATAATATAACAGAAAATTAATAATTTGTAAATGAAATAATTTTTACCTATCTGATTCATTGTCATCACTAAAAAAATAAATATGAAATCAATGAAATACTTTTTATCATTTTTAAAAAAAGTTTTTTTTTTTCTTTATGCTTAAGTTAAAAGTTGTTAAAAACCAAACCCTTTTTTTTTATTTTTTTTTTATTTTTTTTTGCAGAATATCTATTTCAATAGACTATAATAAAATATATTTAAAAAGTATAGAACAGTTTTATAATTTTTTAAAAAACACTTTTATTTTATTCTTGTTCTAAATATAAACAATGAACTTAATGATGAATTATAATACTTATAACTAACTTTTTAACTCTTACACCATTGAGTGCTTTCTCATCAAAATATAAACAAATGTTAACACAAAAATGATATATATATATATATATATATATATATATATATATATATATATATATATATATATATATATATATATATATATATATATATATATATATATATATATATATATATATATATATATATATATATATATATATATATAATTATGTGACATTGAAAAGGAAACATTTAAAAAGCAATAATTTTTTTATTCCTAATTTTTTTTTTCTTAAATATTTAATTTGAATTTAATTTAAAATATATATATATATATATATATATATATATATATTATATATATATATATATATATATATATATATATATATATATATATATATATATATAATTATGTGACATTGAAAAGGAAACATTTAAAAAGCAATAATTTTTTTATTCCTAATTTTTTTTTTCTTAAATATTTAATTTGATGACCTTTGTTATTATATATAAGTTTATTATATATAATGGGTCGACATGCTTAATTTATAAGTTCTTGAAAGATGATATATCTTCATATATCTTTTCATATCTCTCTATATATATCTTTTATATCATTGAATAAACCCTGTAATACTTCTTTTCTTTCCGGTTTTTTAATTGATTTAACATATAACCCTATGTAAAAAAGTCCATAGGCGCAATATCTGTGGAGTTTGGTGTCCACATTTCAGGATGAATAAACTTGATTTTTTAGTCAGTTAAAAATATAAAGGTCATTTTTGAAGAGTGATTAGATGCGGAGTCTTGATGGAAACAAAAGCTATTTTTTGGATATCTTTGATATCATTTTTAATAAATGGTTTATAATACTCTCTAAATAGTTACTTGAATTAATTTTAACTCCTGATTTAACCAATATTAGAGTTGTTAATCTTTTTACCCAAATTCCTACCCATACCATGATGGGTTTTGGAAAATTTTTCTTTTTATAATAGGGTACTCTCGGTACTTTTTGATGTTTGATTATGTAAATATGTTTGGACTTTTTATCACAATCAATAACGTAGAATAGTTTTTCATCAGTTGATTTTCATCAGTAATGATTTTTGTTCAGTTTTTCTTAATAAATCTGTAAAGTTTTTTTGATTTACTGATGGTGGTTATTGATATTCTACTAGTGGTTATTGAAACTTTGATTATTTTGATAATAATTTCTTAATCATTCTATTTGAATATCCAAGTTGTACCAACAATAAAATACGTCCTTTAATTTTTTTTTTGTCAAAATGCTTTTTTTCAATAAATCTTTTTTTCCCAAACTACTTTAAATATGCGATTAAATTATATAAATAATATCGTTAAATATTGTTTAATTAAAAAGTAATCAAGTTTCAAAAGTGTTTCCATTTCAATGTTACATGACTGTATATGAATTACATCTTTATGTATATATATATATATATATATATATATATATATATATATATATATATATATATATATATATATATATATATATATATATTAGGTACGCGGAAATAGCAATTTACGGAGCCGAATTTTAAAACTTGGTACTTAATTAAAACTTGGTAGTTTATTAAAAAACACTGGATTAAAATGAACATGCTTGTGTTACCTTCTATTTAGTCCAAGCCTCTGACTACGACGTAACAGCTGATTAACATTCAAATGACATATATGCTATGCGGTTATCAGTAAAGCATATATGCCGAACACAAGGTTTTTATTATTCAATTTTCTTGTTAAAATTTTTATTAAAAAAAAAAACTCTTACAAGGCTGGAAGCAAAAACTAATTACGTTTGGAGTTAACAGAAAGTTAGTTAAAAAATATGATCAATAGTTTTCAATACCAGGACGAATAAAATATTTAAAGAGATTATTTCTATAATTCTTTGGTTCTGTCGTACATTAGTTGAAGTCTAAATTGTATTAACCATTTTCTTCAACTGATTTTGTTTTCTATCTGATATGCAAGCTCCAAATAATCATATGTTTAAACATGTCAAATAAGGATGATTTGAAAAAAATTACCCCTCAATTTGAGCTGACTTGTATCATTGAAGTGACAGGAAGAGTGCGTCCGTTTGGTCAATATATGAATTAGAGAAAAAGTTTTTTGCATTTATTAAGTTTATTATATAATTAATTAATTAAAAGTAAAAATTACAACAAATATCACTTTAAGAGTGGAAATAAAAAAAACAACCAAAAGGCAACATTCTTCTATTTTGCGTTTGGCGTCATCCGGAGTACGAACAGCAAGACAAATAAGGACTGAACTATTTTTTATACAATTTAAATTATTATTAATTAATAAAAATACAAAAAATAGTTAACAACAAATATTTCACCTACTTTCGAAGTGTATCGGTATACGGTTCACCAATTATACAGTTGATTTAATGTTATTAGTTATAACTAAGGTGTTTCTGCATCGCAGGACATTTGTCATCTTTATGCATCTAAATTGTTTAATAAAGCATTGTTCTTAATCAGAATATATCTTACTTACTCTAAAAATAGAATTAATATATTAGTCTGGAAATAAAACATTAATGCAAAATCTTTCACAAATTTATATTTTCAATCATACCCATGAAGTATTATCACAGTTTAAAACACTTTAGTCATAAGATTTTAACTACTCTTCACCAAGATTTATTAAATCTAAATATTAACTTATTTAATCTAAAGTGAAACTTAGTATGAGTGATTACAAAATCAACATATAAATCAATTTGTTACTATTCAAAACATTTACATTTAATATAATAGTATTCTAATAAAAATTACCTTATTAAATTGTTCCGGAAAAAGTAGTGAAATATTGTGCATATATACATATATATATATATATATATATATATATATATATATATATATATATATATATATATATATATATATAT